CTCTGAGTGTATGTGTTCAAAAATATTCTGGAATTTTCCACTGTGTCTTTCATTAGGGTGAAGACTGTAGACTGCTATACCTACAGTATACCACTTGTGTGTAAGAGAGATACATATTGTGAACATATCCAGGTCACATTTTGGTGTAAAATTTGATCACACTTTTTCAGAATTGTAAGACCAGTGGAGGGTATGTATTAGACCTGAGCTGATAAAGCAACAGTTGCTAAAACCCTTTAAGAGAGATATTCAAGACTTGATTAATAAACAAATTATATATTAGGTCAGTACTCTTAAGTGGTGAGACAAGAAGACAGACCTCAGCAAGACAACTGTGGACTACATTTTGAGAAAGTCCTACATGCAATATTAACCTCTATGACTGAAATTCTCCAACAGATTCACAGAGAGAGACGTTTGGGGACGGGTGTTTACACTTGGTATTAAGATGCGGATCACAAGTAGACAAGCGAGACACAATCCCATTTATACCTGTTTTAATTTGTCTCTTTTATCCACTTTCAACAACCCGATTTTTTTCGAGTAGTGTCTAAGGGCGGGTAAATGTATGTGCTTTTTCAGATCTAAGTACGACATAAGCAATTTACATATGAACACGACCGGAGACAACGGAAAAACAAACAGAGAGCAGCAGCATTTGTTTCTGACAGCCGCAAGACCACTGAACGCTGTGAATGCGTGATAGAAATCAGGAATGGTGGTGAGAACATTGTGCTTGGTACATTTTCCGTCTTCAAACCAAACTTGAGTCTTCAACCAACAAAGTTTAAATCCAGTCTGACTAGCACACATCCCATAATGTTTAAGCATTAGGTGAGTAAGTGGAGAGTAGGCGTTGTTGTGTGGCTGTGCGAATGCATTCGACCACATGAGCGTCTACACTATGAAATCAATCCGGTCGAATGTGTTTTCGACTACCTCCGGTAGTGGTCTAAAGTGGACAAGCTCAAAACGTCACCTGTATTTAGCATCGGTCACTTGTGATCTGATCGACCACAACGCATCTTAATACCAGGTGTAAACAGGGCCAGAGAGAGAGAGAGAGAGCGAGAGAGAGAGACAGATAGGGAAAGAGCATCCTTACATGAACCCTAACCTAAATTTCATTTGACAGAAAGAAGGAGGGCAGTGGAGAATTTAGGTTAGGGCGAGGTAAAATTCAGTTAGTTTACCCTATCAGCTGAGCCCTAACTGTCCTGATATACCACACTATCGCATTAATCTGTGCTTTATATACTCCCAGCACAAAAAAATCAATACTGTTCCCCTTGCTTATATAAACACTTAAATTAATGCCGTTTACGTATGGATTTCAGAATGCAGGCATAGCACAGATAAACCCATTAAAAACACAGCAAGCAGTTTCTATTTGTGGCACTGCACATGGTGCACTCTGGTACAGACATCACTCCACTAAAGATCACGCGACCGAGCCTTTCACTACATTACACACACACACACACACACACACACACACACAAACACATGATTTTTTGTAAGCATCTTCTGTAAAAAGAAACAATGGTTAAGGCTACTCAAGGACGCTCCTCAAATCACGGATGGATCAACGGTAACTATGGAGAGACGGGTGTTAAAAGGAGAAATATGGGGGGAAGGGGCGTATGGTGATAGAGAGATGATGGGAAAGATTGAGAGATGGAGGAAGGGAGAAGAGATGTTCTCCAACCTGCATGGAAGACCACCGTGTTTTTTTTGCATCCTGGCAGTAGCTGGAGATTGCGGAAAAGTCCCTTAGCCGTGAGCTTCACGTGGAAGTTTGATAGGGAAAGTCTCGGAGACCATAACATGACCTTCGATGTCCAACTGGAGGAGAGTAAATCCTCCACAAAATATAGAAAAAAAAATCAAGAAATTTCTCAATACAATTTCTAAATAAAATTTTTAAAAAAAGAAGAAAAAAAGAAAAACGGAATGTTCACTATAGAAAGAACAATCTTTTTGTCACATTCCAGTGCAAAAGTCTTCTTAAGAGGGGGGAAGTCAAATCAACAATTGAAGTGAAAAAAGAAGAAAAACATAGGGGAAAAGGAATTTTGCTATTTTTAAAAATCTCAAAATCTCCCCCCAAAAAATCAAGAATGCTAAAGATTGATACTCCTACAGAAACACCAAGGTGATGATGAAGATTGGAGTGGGAATGATGAGCAGCTCTTTCAGCGGTGTCCTCTTGGATGCTGAACCAGCCAGTGTCTCATATATTCTGCTCCCCTCTCTCACTTTCGCGCAAACGTGCACACGCTAATCCTTTATGTGTGTTGCACACGCACACACACACAAAGCCAAGCTCTCTGTAGATCAACACACACACTCGTGCACTCAGAAGGGGGGATGGAGGGATAGAGGCAATGTAAGGGAAGGGGAGGGAGTGAGCACAGAGCGGGGAGTAGGCGGTTTATGAGTAATGTCCTTCTCTCACTCCCTCTCTCTTGGCTACAGTATGGGTATGAGGATGGAAGATCATGCATTTGAAGATTATAGATTGTGATTTACAATTACACAGCAAAAAAAAAATTTGTATACAAAACATCTATACATACTGTATTTGAGGAGCGAAATTGTGCAAAAAAATTAAATAAGACTCCATACTAGAGAATATTCTAAGTATATCTTCATGATATGTATTATTTACTAGTTTTTGTTTTCTTGTTTTAAGTGTTTTAAATGTAACACAATTTGGTGAGTTTTTTTTGCTTAAAACAAAGGAGAAAAAAACCACCAATGAGGTAAGAATTCAAGATATACTTCATTATTTAATTCAAGATATATTCTCTGAAAAAAAAAGAAGAAAAAAAAAAAAACTCACTATCTACTCAAAAAACGTTGACTTTAACAGAATTTCACCAAACAATGAAAGTCAATGGAGTCCAATGTTGGTCCCCATTAACTTTCATTGTATGGACCAAAAAAATAAAACAAAACACTTTTCAAGACATTTTTTCTAAATATATATTTTTGTTTTTGGTGAACTATTCCTTTAACTAATTCATTTTATTGAATTTACTTGATCACTGAACGCCTACATTCTCTTTTTTCATAGATTTCATTGTATTCATATTTCATAGCCATGCAGTCCTTATTAGACCCTAATCTTGCCTCATGTCATTATCTTTCTTATAACTCCTCTTCTCTCCCTCTTTCCTCTCTTTTTTTCGGGCGCCTTCTCTCAGACATCTTTTTAACGTTTATGTATCTTCCAAGCAGCAGGCTTCCTGAATGGATGCCTTTGTTGGATAAAGAAAAAGAAATGGAGAGAAAGAGAGTGAGAGAGAAACAAGCGCCTCAGAATACTGATGAGTGACACTGTTGAATAGAGAGACGTCAAGCAGCACATGATTGGCTGTGTTCTGACACTATTGTGCTTCCTTATTCATCACTAAAGGCCAACAGCTGCACGGCCAGAGCAACATAAATTAGGAACAGTCAAGGGGTGGAGGTGGGTAAAATGCTGTTAAAGTCAAGATGTTTGTAAGTAAAACAAGACGGAAAGGCAAGAAATGCCAAGAAATATGCATTGGTTGGGTAAACTTGTTGTGAATGTGACTGGAATTTTGGCCTGAGGATGTCTATGGCATTTATGTTCTATACTGCACAGTAAGTCACATGTGTGAATTAAGCCCAAAATTAAACTTACTTACAGAACGTACTTACACAATACTTCAAAAGGGCCACATACACACTACAAAGTTGACAACTCCTGAAATGGCGATAAGTAATTTTATAGAGTTCAACAGTGCCCGCCCACTTTTTCAGCGCTGTTTGTTCCGGAAGTATTTTTTCCATTCATTTCAAAAAAAGTCTTCATTAAAGCATTATTAGGCATTAACCAAGCCAACCAGCTTTGAAGTGAATCCTAACATTACAAACTTTGATTGGAAGCAAAAACAAAATACAAGGTCTTAGACTGTATACTTAAAGGCTCCCTGAAATCAAAATTTATGTTTTTTAGCTTTTAGTATGAATATGTTAGCCTTAAGGTTATGAATAAGCTGGCGTGTTCCAAAACAATGACAACATTCACATCTTCTGTCCAATCAAATGCTCTATAGAATCTATGGTGTCCCGCCCCCTATGCTATAAATACCACCTGGCCAAAGCGACCGCTGACATGTCACGGAGCAATATGGGGTGGAGATGTGTGTTCGGTTGCTCAAACGCTCAAGTTTTATTCCAGTTTTCCAACTGTACGTTGGATAATAATGAATTGGCTAGAATTTATTCACACCTCTACTATTGAATCCAACAAATCATCAGCGCTTGGATTCGCTTCCATGGTGCTGTCAAGTACGACTTGAAGTCTGTGAGGTAAACTAAACGCTATTGTATTGGCTATTTGAAAAGGGGGAGGAGCCATTCAATATGTCCCGCCTTAGCTTCCTGTTTCAGTGGAAATTACGTCAACGCATCATACAAAGCTGCGCGTTCCAAGGCACTTCAGTGGGCCTTTAACAACTTTAGTGAGGGAAATAACTACAATCCCATGAAGCATTGCAACAGCATAATTGAATTAAAAATGATGGAGAAATATAAAACTACACATGTAAAAATTGTGATTTTATATATCTCTTCTCTGATAACGTGTTTACTGGCATGAGGGCGGGCCGGGACAACCTGTCACTCACATGACATCACAGCGATAGCAATTCCCCATGAACAAAATCAAGTCCCACTCAGATATACGTCACACTAGGGAAGAAAAGACTATCACAACTTCCATTTCATGCCAACTTTAAGTGAAAAAAATCCAACTAAAATTATCATAATGCTATTTTCAACACCTCTGGAATACAACAAGTTTACTCATGACTGCAGGTTTTTGATTATACTGAACTAATGGCAAGTTGATAAGTGAAATGACTAAATCAACACATCAGTGCAGACTGATCACATTATTTATAGACAACACAGCAATGGTAGAATGTAAATGGATACAGACACACACAATCAAATTCTCTCCTTACCTATTACTGATGATGAGCGAATAAGTCGTGCAGATCCACTGCGCTGCAAAGCATTCTGGTTAGTCTTAGCTGTCACATGGCTGGTCACAGCTGGGGCTTTCAGCCCTATTAAAACAGTGCAGAAGAAATCAAACTTCATGTTAACAGATTGTGCAGTGGCAGGTTTCAGCGACTGAGTTAGATGTCCTGTAGAGGCTGTATGTGCATGCGTGTTTTAATGGCAGTGGGTGGGACAGGGCGGGGCAGAAAGAATGGCACTAAACCTTCACAACCATCTTCACACACAAAGCAATTAGCAAGGCAATCAATATTAACTATAAACAATATGTTTATCTTGTTTTGTGGTGTCAAAAGTTTGGGGTTGGTAAAATATTGTAATGGTTTTCGAAGAAGTCTCTTATGCTCACCAAGGCTGCATTTATGTAATCAAAAATACAGGGAAAACATTAACATTGTGAAATATTATTGCAATTTAAAATAATTCTGTTTCCTAAATGTTTACTATTTAAATATATATATTTAAAATGTAATTTATTCCTGTGATGGCAAAGCTGAATTTTCTTTACTCCAGTCTTCAGAGGCACATGATTCTTTAGAAATCATTCTAATATGCTGATTTGGTGCTCAAGAAAAAGTTACATAAAGTTATATTTTTTTGGAAACTGTAATACGTTTTCTTTTCAAGGAGAAAGTTCAAGAGAACAGCATTTATTGGAAATTAAAATCTTTTGTAACATTATAAATGTATTTACTGTCAAATGTTTATCAATTTGATGTGTCCTTGTGGAAGAAAACCATTAATTTCTTTAAAAAAGTAATGTTACTGACCACAAACTTTTCAATGATAATGAATATTAAGATTTTTTGTAATTTCATATATATATATATATATTTTATTGTCGATATATACAATATATATATTTTTTTAAATATCTCTTAATATTTAATGCTTCTAATAGTGCTTCTAGGGTCATTTTATCTTGTTTTGTGGATGTTTTAAGGAATCTTTTTAAACAATCGAAAAATACTAAAGAAGAGGACATTTGTATGACATTTTTTACCTTCCATTTTAAAAGATCTAATCTAATCTATTTCTATCATGACAATAGAAGAGGAATTACAATAACGAATTAGGGTATCAAAATCTTTTTAAAAACCTATTAAGAGGTGTATATGGTTGTAATCAGATTGTGATTTTGAACTAAAATAACATCAAAGGAGTTGTAATTGCAGTGTCATTAGCTTAAGACAATCAGAGCTTTCCCACTGATTAATGATTATAGAAGATCTGACGCCAAAGAGACTGAGTTTCCCTTTGAGCCTGTTTTGATGTGTAAATAGTGAATGATGAGAAACAGATGAATGTGGACTCTGATAAACATGCAAATAAGTGTGACTGTTAGAGAGAGTTAGTGAGATTAGAAGATTAAAACTTCACGGTTCCCTCACCTGCTACGGGTTTAGACGGTGTGGAGCTCGCTCTGCTGCGGTGACCTGATACAGGTTTGATAACTAGAGACTTTCCTTGAATCTGGGATGTGGGTGATTGTTTGACAGACTTCTCCTCACTCTTCATCCCTTCAACAGGAACTGACCAAAGACAAATCACCACAGCACATTATAAAATAATATTGTGCACAATGCAGTAAAACCCTATTTTCAAATGATGTATTTTTTTCTTTTTTTTGTGTGTTCAGAGAAAATATCTTGAATATAAATTTACTGTCTTGTTTCATGCACTTTGTTGATTTTTTTTTAATTTCACTTAAATTTAGTGATATTTGTTGATAAAGTTGATGTTTAAATGTCTATATATCTCTGACAACATGTCTTATAAATCTTATAAATAGAAAAAAAGAATGATTACGTGTATGTGCAGAAACAGGCCTCCCATTAAGAAACTCAAATAAAGATCCAATTCCTTGAATTCTTCAAATGATTTAATATGTTCAAAAAATGCAATTAGTAAAAGACTAGATCAGTTAGAAACAAAGCTAAGCAATTGGTCCCTGCACAACAACATGATTACTTTATCAGTTAACAGTTCAAATAAAAGGCTTTTGTGTCAATATTAATGGGCAATTTTGTCTGGAATTTACCTTGAAAATCTTCTTTATTCATTAGCCAAACACATTCACATGCATTCCTATTGAAGCTAGAGCTCATTGCTCTAATTTACCATGGCAACCCAGTGGCGATCTTGTTTTTTCTTGAATTTAAGTTCAGAGTATGGGACAGCAGGAAAGTGTGGGAATAAACTAATCATAATTCTGATAGGGTGTTGTGTGGAGGATGTTGTGATTAATGTCTACAGCGCACAGCTTTGGAATGGCAGAGATTGTATTGTATATGAGTTGCTCACAGTCACTGCTAAACTCTGAGCAGATGTGACCTTTGACCTGAGGAAAGGAATGAGGGCAGTCTGAGCCCTGACGATTTCATTGAAGCTCAGAGAGAAAGTGTGAGAAACTATGTATCTCAAATGTTAAAACCATGGTACTTTGATATACGAATGATACGATATACGATATGATAATGACTGATTTCCATATACATGTTTCATTTATCTGGTAAATTTATTTTTAAGAAAATGATTATATGCAGCGTGAGAAAGAGGAAAGCATGTATTTTAGTGCTAAGAGGTTTTCAAGTATGTACTTGAAAACTGTCAAGATGCAGATGGTGACTTAAAGGGATAGTTCACCCAAAAATGAAAATCATCCCATTATTTACTCACCCTCAAGCAATCCTAGATGTATATGACTTTCTTCTTTCAGACGAACACAATCGGAGATATATAAAAAAATATCCTGGCTCTTCCAAGCTTTATAATGGTAGTGAATGGGGGGCGAGATTTTGAAACCCCAAACAATGCATCCAAAACCCAAAACAGTTAAAAAAGGCCTTCTGAAGCGAAAATATGGGTTTTTGTAAGAAAAATATCCATATTTAAAACTTTGATTAACTACAATAACTAGCTTCCGGCAGACAGCCGTACACATCGATTTGCGGCGGAAAATGTGACCTCTGACCCAACGCATGACGGATGTGGAAGTGCAAAGGATAGAGCAAAACAAAACACCGGTCACAAATTCGAAGTCTAAAATGAGAACTTTCAAAAGAAATGTCGGAGGATTTCGATATAAGAGAAGAGATGCTTGAGTTTGTTGCACAGCCCTATTGGTTTAAACCGCGAGAGGCGTCTAAGCTTACGATACTCCTACATACTTGGCGTCAGGGGTTACTCTTGTGGCGCAAGTCGATGTGCGCAGTATGCGTACGATCGTCTGCCGGAAACTAATTATAGTTAATAAATCTTTAAATAAGGATATTTTTCTTACACAAGCGTATCACTTAGCTTCAGAAGGCCTTTATTAACCCCCCGGAGCCGTGTGGAGCACTTTTATGATGGATGGATGCATTTTTTGGGGCTTCAAAATCTCGCCCCCCATTCACTACCATTATAAAGCTGGGAAGAGCCAGGATATTTTTAAATATATCTCCGATTGTGTTCGTCTGAAAGAAAACAGTAATATACACCTAGGATGGCTTGAGGGTGAGTAAATTATTTTTTGTGTGAACTATCCCTTTAAGACTCTTCACAGACACGCACCTTTGTTTACAGCAATACTGTTGCTTTCGCTGATTGTACTTCCCAGTGATGAGGAGCTGGGGCTTGTGGGTAGGCCTTTGACAGGCAGTTTGGAAGAGGCAGCTCTCTGAGGACCCTTACAAAAAGAGCTGGAAACAGAAGTTGGGCTGCAGGGTACTGCGGACCTGTCTGTGGTGCGCATCCTTGGAATACCTAAACACAAAAGAGTTATAATTAAATTCTACTCGCCATCATCACTGATACCGAAGCATATTCCAGCTAGACTATATATGTTTTCGAAGCGGTTCTATTCAGCCAGCTGCACTCACAGAGTGTTCTATTATTGAATAAAGAATGCAGTTATATATAGAATATCAATGTGCATTCAGCCATGCATACAAAATGAGCATAGATGACCCTCGCTGACCTTTGTGTGTCAACAGTTTTATTTTTCTGTACTCATCACCTTTCCTCACAAGACGTTCACCATACAAGGCGGTGTGCTGTCATCTAGCATGCTTTTATAAAATATGATGGTTTAACTCTGTTTTACACATTTTTTTATAATAATTTTGCCAGGAGCCTAAAAACTTTTAAAAACTTTTTTTAATTGTTTTTATTTTTTATTTTAACATTTTGTTTTCCTAATTTAGTGCAATGTCTAACAGCTGTAGAAATAAAAGCAAAATAAAATAAGTACTTTAGAAATATACAGAGTCATTCAAACATTTGGGTTCAGGATTTTGTAAATGTTTTTAAAAGAAGTCTCTTATGCTCAACAATGCTGCATCTACAGTAAAAATACTGTGAATAATAAAAAAAATATATATATTGTTAAATATTATTACAATTTAAAATAACTTCTTATTAAATTCTATACATTTCATTTTAATATATTTTAAAATGTAATGTATTCCTGTGATGGTAAAGCTGAATTTTCAGCACCATTTCTCCAGTCTTTAGTGTCACATGATCCTTCAGAAATCATTCAATAATTTGATTAGAAACTGTGATTGTGAATACATTTTTGTTGTTTTTTTATTCTCTGATGTATACAGTAGAACGGTCAAAAGATCATAATTTATTTGAAATATAAATCTCTTCTGTCATTATACATGTCTTTACTGTCACTTTTGAAAATTGTAATGCATCCTTGCTAAATAAAAGTATTAATTTCTTTAAAAGAAATCATACTGACACCTAACCTTTGAACGGTAGCGTAAATAATATTATAAAATAATATGTATAAAACATATTCCATGTCCTTGGTGTTATGAATGGTAACACATTTTTTAGATGAAGGTCAAAGACGAAGCTGTTCAAATATGCTCATCTGTGCATATGATTTACGCACCACAGTGAAAAAGTAATTAATTTCCCATTAAATTCAATTTGATCAGTTTTTATAGTACCACCACTGGGAAGTTGTGTTTGTGTCTTTTTCTTTGTGAAATGTGCAGTAGTGTGCTGGGAAATCTTGTTTCCTGTATCCTGTTTCTTTTTCTACACTACCGATCAGTTCCTATGTGTGAGAAGAACACTTGTTTGACTCCAATGGGTAGAAGCTGTGGGTGTTATTGTGAATTAAAGAGGGAGAGAGACAACACCTCACACAAGCACATCCTGTACTGTACATAAGGTAAGGTCTTCTGGGGGCACTGCTATGGAGACCAACCAACACAAATATCACTTTATGCCAGCTGGTGTATTTACATGCAGGTTTGAATCTGTTGGTCTAGCAGAGTGAGATTCTTAATTTTCTCCAGAGTCTGATCCAGAAACCACTTTCTGAACTCCCTGCTCTTTCCTCTCCTAAGTGTTTAAACGGCACCGAATTCAAAAGCAGTGAGACCAATAAATGAGATAAATGCCACCTGTTGGAGAACACATGCTACTGCATTTTGCTTGTTCACTTCCAGGCAAAGTCTGACTTTGGGTTTTTAATTTTAAAGTACTTATGGTATCACTCATGGCTATCAACTACTAAAACAAGATAAGGAAAGCAAACAAACACATAGTAAGAGGTCTCAGCAAGTGGCACAGCTACATTTCTGTGGCCAAGCGGATAGGATGTGTACAGGCAGGGTATTTCACAGGAAACAGTGTCATAAATTTGTAATGATATTGTAAATGTAAATTTAAATAGTAAATTTGAAGATATGTATGTATTATTATGATATATACCGTAATAACCTGTAATATTGTGAAATATCATTACAACTTAAAATATCTGTTTTCTTTTTGAATATATTTTAAAATGTAATTTATTATTATCATTGCTCCAGTCTTCAGTGTCACATGATCCTTCAGAAATCAAATATTATTATCAAATGTTGAAAACAGTTGTACAGCTTAAAATTTATGTGGAAACTGTAATACAAGTTCTTTTCAGGATTATTTGATAAATCTAAAGTTCAAAAGAACAGTATTTATGTGAAATGGAAATCTTCAGTCACATTAAAAATGTCTTCACTTTCATTTCTGATCAAGTTAATGCTGAATAAAAGTTTCTTTTATAAGATAAAAAAAAGTTTTGAATGGTAGTGTAGGCCTATTATACTTTTATGATATCCAAATAAGATAACAGTTGATCAGAAACATTTTTGAGTGAAATGAACATATGAACATATTTATAAATATAATGACTTAAATATGTTCATATATTGAAGGTGCAGATTTTGCTAATAAGGTCCTTTAGTAAATATCATTGAAACACAGTCCACTTAATGAACCACTAATTTACAATCAATAATCTTGTGCTTTATACAAAGAACAATTAAACAAATTATTTATAACAAATAGTATACGTAAATAACTGATTTTATCCCCATAACTATTCAGCTTGATGAGGCCAATATATAAACATAAAGATTGTTAGATAAACTTTACACCTTTATGATGTAAATCCCTTATTTCCATTAAATGAATGAGTTATTTTCAAACTTCCTCTGCATTATGAACATAAAATATGTCACTGTTTCCTGAGACTGACCCCACCGTAACAGATGTCCTTCAACACAACACTTTCCCCTGATTGTCAACTATTAAATTGTGGAGCAAAAGTCACAGTGTGGGCCTGTGGTCTCTGTGAAGAAACAAGACGACGATTGTCTAGTTGGAATTTGACCTTCTCTCCTTGATTCAATTTTACTTTTCATTGACATTGAAACATGACACACACACAAACATACAGAATATGGCCCCTGAAACCACATGCACCCAAACATATCCCTGCATCCACATGTAATGAAAGAAAGAGGAAACACGCAAAAGAGACAGAGAAAGAAAGGATATGTCACAGAGGAAGGTTAAGTTACGGGACAGCCCCAAACTTTTCAAAAGTGTAGACATGCTCACTCACACATACACACACTGAGCACAATGTATTTTTCTGACAAACACAGGAAAACTGCCTTAGGCTACACACACACAAATGGACAGACATACACACGATGGGATGGGTGGAGGGAAAGAGAGAGGACGACAAAGAGCGAGAGCAATGAATGGACAATATGAGATAGGAAACAGACGTTAAGTGCAGTGTTAAACTCAAGTGTGTGTTATGGCTTTAAATCCTGAACATGTGGCCACAGAAAGAGAGGAGAGTTACGTAACACTATGCAGAGTTTGGAACCTGAAGTGTTGAATTCTGCAGGCATATTAACACCAGCTGCAGCTTCTCACTCACTGGATGACCCAGACACATGTTAGATTCACTAGTAGGACATTTTATAGGCCTAATGGTTTTTAAACAAAGGTGATTCTATTTGCTAAACGCCAACCCAAATTCTCGCACATACCTGTTGATATCAGTAGATTTAAAGCAAAATAGTTCTTTATGATACTTTGAAAATCATGAGTACCACTATAAAAGTTATGTTTGTCCCAAGAAGTTAGAAGTTAAATCTGACAAAACCTTCCATTTGACGACGTCCGAGGACATCCTTAAAACTGAATCATAAATAATAGGGTTTTTTACACAACATAATGCAAAAAGACTTTTGGGTCTAGGTAATTATTTATTTATTTTATTATTTTCTTGTATTATTATAATTTTTAGACATTTTTAGTAATTGAAGAAGAGATGGAGAAGTTGATTATTTGACAAAATAAATTATAAAAAATAATACAAGAAAATAATAAAATATATACACTACAGTTAATTTTTTTTAGATCGGCAAGAATCTTTCTGTTTTTGGAAGGGGACTCTTTATATAAAGCAAATGACTTAATCTTAAAGCTAATTAAGCTAAACTAATGATTGTTATTATTTATGTTTTTAATTGTACTTTTTTGGGATCAGTAAGATATTCATATTTTTATTTAGCAAGGATGCAATAATGATTAAAAGTGTTTTACTGAATTGGTGAGCTTTTAATCATTATTGCATCCTTGCTAAATAAAAAATAATACTTTCTTTAAAAAAGTTTCTCAATTTCTCAAAAAAAACGTACAATTAAAAACATAAATAATAACAATCATTTAGTTTAGCTTAATTAGCTTTAAGATTAAGTAATTTGCTTTAAATAAAAACAATTTGTATGCACACTAAAAGAAAATCACAACCCTGCAATGTCAAATTAAATTGCAAACGTGCAGCAGAAAGGCTGAATTTTAGAAAGGAAGAATTTTAGATTCCTCACTCTAGCACAGTTACCTGAACTGTGACAGTGATGCATGTAAAACTTATAATATCAGTATAAGCTTACAGGAAGCATTACACAGAACAAAACAGATCTAGAGGCTCTTCCACTGTAGCGTTCACTCTGTCTACTTCCTTAAACCAATGCCTGTGAGATTTTGTTCTGTGCATGTGGTGCGTTAAACAAGCAAAACTCACCAGCCGGCTGAACCGCTCGTCCTCCCGGTGGACCCAGACTACCTGTGGGTCGGGCTTCTCTGTTAGAGGGCTTCAGTCTGGGTTCTGGGGGTCCAGAGGTGGAAGTACTGTTAGTCCCTAGAGATGGTCCCAGCTTGGAAGACACAGTCTGGAGAAAGAGTCGTTGGTTAGTCACAGCATCCCAAGCCAGAGATCCCAACTCTGGGCGCCGCAGGGTAACCATAGTGTTGGCCATTCCACAGAACAGACAGAAAATGTGCAGCGGTACAGATAGAGAGAGAAAAGCGAGAGCGCTGAAGGAGAGGGAGGAGGAGCGGAAAGGAGGGAGGGGAAATAAGACTCGCCTGCTCCAAAAAAAAAAAAAAGCAGAAGAAGAAAAAAAAGAAAAAAGAAAAAAGTAAAGGGAAAAACGTTTCTATTGTGTTATTCCCTCAGGGCTTCTGATGCCAGGACCAGCCCAGATCTTTTCCTTTTCTCCCCCTCGTTATTAAACACTCAACACACACATGGAGTGAGTTTGTGGAAAGATTCTGTTGTCTGAATCAGTGTTCATGAGTCCTCTCTAAACTAAGGAATGTTTCCCTCCACGTTCTGTTCTTTTCCCTCCAAGACAGTTGTTTTACTGGCAAAAACATCTCACTCATGTTCTCTCTAACCAAGTTGAAAAATGGCAGGAAAGTGAGAGAGGGAACTGGCTCTTGGGTGTTTCTTACCAGTGATAATAAAGCAGAAACATGCAAAAGCACTTGCTGTAAAACTGGACAGTGAACATATTTAAAACCTCTAATCACAGTATTTACATTTGAAAAACCTTTTGTTAGGTCTTCATTTACTCTTGACACATTTGGTTCGTTCGACCCAAGCTAATAACACATTTAAGCCTGAATAACAGCATAGCACAATCATGTGATGGCACGTATAGAGTCGGACTTGTTGAAGCAGTTCTCCTCATAAGGAGAAGAAGATTGACATGAAAACAGACAGCTGCTGTTAATATGTTGCTTTAAATGAACATTTCAGTTTAAGTAGACCAAGATTTGGATGTATGACTATAAATGACACAAACAACTTGAAAGGTTTATCTGATCACATTTAACACACGTTGAGAATCAAGAATACTTTCTTCTATTGGTGATTAAAATAAACATGTTTCAACCGGCTGAGCTCTCAGTCTGACTCCTTCTGTGCATCCCAGTAGAGATTATTTGACTAAAGATGCTTCATTAGACATGTACATGTGAATATTAAATGTACTAAATCAAATATTAAGAAAGATTTTAATCATAGTAAACTTTAGATAAATAATCTGTAAAGTTTTCATACTATATGAAAAATAAATTAAAAATCTAAATAAAAAAAAATAATTAATGCTTTAATATTAATGCAATTTAAATAAACAACAATAATAATATAATAAACTATAATGAACATTTTAATAATAATAAATGTTTTTGATAAATAATAAAAACACGAATAAAACGTAATAGCAATAGTACATTTTAAATAAACCACTAACTTTCTAAATGTGAAAACATGCATATAAAATACTAATAAAAGTACTAATAATAGTCAAATTGAAATAAACCTAAATAAATGTAACTAATTTTAATAAACCTAAAATGTAGAAAAACCTTCTAATTGTAAAAACTAAATGTACTAAATAAATAAGAAATGAATATATGCTTTAATATTAATAAGGTTTAAATAAACTTGAATAAAAGTATTAATTAAATAATAATATTTTACAGTTTTAATCATTTTTAATAACAGTAACATTTTTAAATAAATAAACCTTAATAAAAGTTTTAGTAATAAAGTTAACTTTTTAACAGTAAAAGTTACTGTTACTAATGTATCTACAATTACTTTGTTACTAAAATGTAAAAGAAGAAAAGAAAATTGTAACAGTTTAATAATAATAAAATGTAAATAAATAAACCTTAATAAATGTTTTATCAAAATGTAAAAAAACAACTTTTTTAAATGTAAAAAAGACCTTCTTATATAAACATGTCCTTCATATATATAAATGGGATTTTCTTAATGCTTAAAATTAGATGATAAAAAGTCAATTATAACAATCAATAATTAAACTACAGGAGAGAAGTTGAATAAGAGGACAACTGAATCACTAACCGTGCTGTTAATCTTAGAGGTTTCTTCCCCAGCTTCTTTCTCAAGTTGAGGTTCTCCTTCATTTTTAAAAGCAGCTGAAGAAGGACATTCTGACTTCATTGCTGTTTCTTCTTCTTGTGTTGGCAAGTATAAAGTGTTTACATCTTTCTCCTGACTGCCATTAAATGCAACCTCACTTGGGCAAGTCTTTGTTTCTTTTCCTCTTGTATTGGCTGATGATGATCTGCTTCTTTTTCCAACAGCATTATCTTCCACCTTCCTACTAACAGGAACCTTCACACTTCCTGAAGCTGACTGCTTAACATTCGTGTTTGTTTTTGCTGGATTGGCTGATCTTGGCGCAGAGGCAGCCCTGGAGATGATCTTGGCCTTCACGTTCCTCAGGTCTGGCCTGGGGAACCTCTTCACCTCAAGTTTTGTGGCTTTGGCCAGAGGAGCCCTTGTACGAGGCTTGGCAATACAATGTCCTGCAAGATCATTGGTCTTTTTTGCTGTGGACTTTGGATTGTTGTCCTCTTTTGAGATGGATAAGTGAGAAGAAGTTGTGTTTCTGGTACTTGTTATTGAAATGGAGACTTTGTTTTCAGGAGACACCACTGTCTCATACATAATGTGAGTTTTTTGAATGGCTGATGACAACTCAACAGAGACTTCCCCATTTTCGTGGACAACTTCCCTCTGGGGTTCATTCTCAGTAGCCACGTTAGGCACTTCTGCTGTTTGGCCTTCAGAAATGTCTGGTAAAACACTGTTTGGCATTACCACTTCAGAGCTGGTGGAGACTTCCAGAGCAGAGACAACAACTTGGCTTTTCATCATTAATTCTACAGAGGATAAAGAAAGAAAAGAGTCTTCTCCCTCTTCTTCTTTAGTGTCATCATCATCATCATCATCATCATTTCCTGAAGAGCACAAGAATGCATCATCACCATCAGTTTGACCAACCTTCTGTGCTACCACCAAAGTGACATTACGGTTGTCATTGTCACTCCAACAGTCTTCATTAGCATCCAGATAGACAGACACTGAGTTGTCGTTGTCCTCACTGTAGTCTGGTCTGCAGTCTGGGCTCTGTATGCCTGAATCATCACTGTTGGCCATTGCTTTTCCCATCTCCACATCTGGCATGTCCACATCCAGAGGACTATCTGTTCTGGCACTACTCAGACTGCTCAAGCTACGCATGGAGTCCGGTGATGTCTCGTCTCTATCGTACAGGAGCGAGGTTTTGGATGATGACAGAGAAGACTCAGAGGTGAACGTGTTGTTACTCTGGTCACTACTGTGTAACGGGAGACACATCCCATGATGAGATCCCTGAGAAGATCTCTTGGTAGGCGCAGGAGGTGGAAGTTCAGACTTGTTCGTTGGTGGTTCCATGAGACAGGTGGGTTGAGACACTATCATACAGTCAAATCCCCCATAGCTAGATCCAATTCAGCCCTGATAAACAGTTAATACTTAACTTTGTAGAAGATGGGATTATGGTGTTTCTCATCATAGAAAGTCTATTCCTTTGATCATTCAGAAGATGGCGTCCATGGTTTTGCTGACACACTTTTAATGACTCTAAAAAACAAAAAAAGACAACAGCATGTCAATTACATTTCATCTAGTCCTGATCTGTACTGTTAGAAATATAAATACTATAGAGCCTGAGATAAACACAGGGAAACCAGGGTCATATAAGAAAAAGAAAATCCAATGGTAATGTTGAATTATTATTATTATTATTTTTAAATTTTGACAAAAAATTCTCTTCAAAGTTATCAAATCTAGATGAGATGACAACAAGCCAGAATATAATATTCTATAATGCTGTAAACAAGAGTACTACTGCTCCCTACAGGGCAATTTCACTTGCCCTGACTTATTTTCATTTTACATCATTGAATCATTGTCCTGTGATCACTGTGAAGCTGCTTTGAAACAATGTGTATTGTATAAACGCTATGTAAATAAAGGTTTGACTAAATAAAGGACTAGACTTGACTGCCCTCTACTGGTAACTACTCCTCTATAAGTCAAAGGAGATAATGTAGCATAAACCTCTACAAACTCTTTTATATCACTTCTGCAAGAAATGAATGTTCAACTTATATATATATATATATATATATATATATATATATATGTATAATTGCCATTATATATATATATATATATATAATATATAACAATCTTTATCTCTCTCAAAGTTGACTTATGAAAGCTGTCAGTCTGCTTGAGTAATGGAAAAGCTTGTTCGAAGCTGCCTGCATGGACATTTCTTTATTTTAGTTTAAGCAAACACATATGATAGTGCACATGCACAATCAATTCTGTATTATGTCAGAGTCACACTTTTCAATTAAATTAGGGTGATAATGTAGGTCATATAAAAGCTAATAAAAGGAGACGGCTTTTATTTTGATATTCAGGGCAGTCTCTCTCTCTCTCTCTCTCTCTCTCTCTCTCTCTCTCTCTCTCTCTCTCTCTCTCTCTCTCACACACACACACACACACACACACACACTAGGAAATGGTGACAGTTACTTCTACAATGGTGTCCTTGTGTTACCAGACAAATGCTGAATGGTCCTGACCAAGAGTCTGATTGTTCTACTCACAAAAACCTTTCGCTGAATAAACCAAAAGTCATCTTTTAACACAAAGAACAGGCTGATATCTACCCGGGTTGGGAAGATGAGTGGGTGTCAAAATGCATCTATGCCCTTCCTAAGAGCTGGTGCATGACCTCATGACACTGCAAAAATTCAAGCATTATTTGTGAAGTATTGAGTAGGACTGCGGATATCAACCGTATACAGGTTATGATGTGGTTATAGTTTTTGAAAATGTCACAAATGATAATGAATAGCATCGTCTAATTGACATGGCAACAAATAAGTTGTTGGCAAACTATTCCTCTGTTGACCTTCCTGAGATATGCTTATGTGGCTAGTACTGTTGATGAGAGAGCTACTGACAACATAAGTTCATATATCACTCCGGAGAACAAGATGAGCAAACTTGATGCAGAACAGAGACAAAATCGGATCATCTTCTTCAAAACTAATTAGATGTTTAAAAAGCGAATTATTTTGCAACATATTATGCATGTTAATTTGACCCCCTTGAACGACAGCTTTCAACATACCTCTACACAATGTTCCACACAATGAATGAATGAAAGAATAGCTCTTTACTATGTACTACTGTAAAGCGGTTCACCATCATATCAGGGGGTCTCTCCTCAAACACCACCAGTGTGCAGCATCCACTTGGATGATGCGACGGCAGCCACAGTGCACCACACACCAGCTGTAGGTGCGGAGAGAGAATGATAGAGCCAATTCAGTGGATAGGGATTATTAGGAGGCCATGACTGATATGGGCCAATGGAGGGAATTTGGACAAGGACAAAGGGTTTACAACCCTAAATGTTTAAAAGTAGTGCCATATGATTTTTAATGACCACATACAGTCAGGACCTTGGTTTAACGTTTCATCCGAAGAACGGTGCTTGCTTGGTACAGTAATAGTATAGTGTCCCAATCACTATGCTGGAGCATTAGGACACACAGGCAAAAGGCTGAGCACCCCTGCTGGCCTCACTAACACCTCTTCCAGCAGCATTCTAGTTTTCCCAGGTCTCCCATCCAGGTACTGACCAGGCTCAACCCTGCTTAGCTTCAGTGAGCAACCAGTTTTGGGCTACAGTACAGGGTGATATGGCTGTGACAATGAATCAGTGGTTGCATAAAGTGATAGTTCACCCAAAAATGAAAACTCTGTCATCATTTACTCACTCTCAAGTTGCTCCAGTCCAAACCTTTATGAGTTTCTTTCTTCTGTTGAACACAAAATAAGAAATTTTAAAGAATATGGGTAACCGAACAGTTGTGAGGCACCATTGACTTTCTATCGTATTTTTTCCCCATACTATTGAAGTCAGTGGTGCCCCACAACTGTTTGGTTACAAACATTCTTCAAAATATCTTCCTTTGTGTTCAGCAGAACAAAGAAATTCACACAGGTTTGGAACAACTTGAGGGTGAGTAAATGATGACAGAATTCTCTTTACCCTGTGAAAGTGTTTGATGAAAGTAATTTTCTTTCCTGTGTTTGACTTATTTCCAAGGGACCTAAAATAGCATGATTTGCTACTTGCTATTGTTAGTAAGTGGCAACTGGAAAGTGGATCTTCTTTATTTTGGCTTTTGGGTGGCAGCGGGTCAGTGGTTCATGTAGGTTGTCTACAAACCGGAAGTTGGTGGTTCAATCCCCGGTTCCACTTGACCAAATGTTGAGGTGTCCATGAGCAAGACACCTAGCCCCAGCTGCTCCCGACGAGCTGGATGGCGCCTTGCATGGCTGACACCGCTGTCGGTGTATGAATGGGTGAATGTGAGGCAATATGTAAAGAGCTTTGGTGGCCATTGGGTCTGTGAAAGCGCTGTATAAATGCAGTCCATTTACCATAATAAAGCTTGCATATAAAGGACTTCAAAGCTAAAAAAAAAACAGGGACTAAAAGCTACAAAACGTTTTTTTTAAACACTTCAGAGCTGAAATATGAAGTCTTGCACGCACAGTAATGTTGATGAAACTACAAATCCCAGCAGAAACAGAAAAAAGCCTCATGAATTAGCAGTTGAAATAGAAACCAAGAAAAAAAACAGTCTAAAAGTCTTAAAAGTACTGCTTACAACCAACAACAGCCCTGTATATCACTGTACGTTCAGTGATTATATTACCGGTATGTAACAATTTCTTGCTTCCTATGTGCTCAGCTCAGATAGCAGTGGGATACAGAACATGACGTACATGACCCTGGCCTGCATAGATCTATGAGTGTGTGTAACATTGGTTGTGCAAGGCCACTATAATCTTCTGAGATTGATAATTACTCTTGCTTTAACATCTCAGATTATAGCGATGATGAGACAGATAGCCAGAGAGAGAAAGTGAGTGAGAGAGAGAGAGACATACTGCAGCAATGATTCTTGCTGTGTTAGGGTCAGTCCTTTTATCCCCGGGGTGTGATGAGAATAAGAGAGGGACATTCACTTGCATTGGGTTAACAAAGGTGAGGTTACAAGACATGTCAGATTTCTCAACACTCTCTGTCACGGTCTCCACACACCCGACAGATTTGCATAGTTTTCTATAAATTTAAGTGTACATAGACACAATGCATTGGCTAACAATAAAAGCGAGCCCTGTTGTGCTGCACTGCGTGCCTGTCAACTGAAATAACTCAGAGCGGACATCACACTGGGATAGACAGATCATAAATCTCAAGGCTAAATCTCCACAGCTAAAATTCGTAAAGAACGACTATATTATTACAATAAATAAAAGACACATTTAATAATAAAAAATTGCCTCCTCTAACTAAATAAACAAATGTAAATCATGTTAATGAAAGGTAATTTATTTGATCAAAAATGCACTAAAATTAATAATATTGTGAAATATTATTAAGTATACCTTCATGCATGCATATTTAAAGTAGGCTATAAATTGTTGCCATTTTTCAAATTTTTCCTCTGTTACTTGATATATTTATATATAAAATTGATTCTTAGGTCATCTGAGACCATTTTGAAGAGAGAGTTCAAATAATTCTGCAATTTGGGACAGAGTGCAAACATGTGTCTGAGGTTACAGGGCAAAAGTTTGCATTTTTATTTACATGTCAGGACTGTTGGGATATATTTTAGGTTTAGTCGATGAGCTCTACGACGTAGTGGTCCACATATCTAACACCCAATAATCATCCTCAAGCTATAGGCCTAGTTCCTCTTCCCAAGCACTTATGAAAGTTATCATTTGACAAAGTCGTTACATATATCTGTGAGATAATACATGAGGGTTCAGTTTGAACACATATTGTAACTATTTTTATTTATTTGATTTAGATTTTATATATGGAAAATATACATTTTGACATTTTGATTACTCCTTTTGTGTTACACAGGAAAACGTCAGTTTCGTCATCATCATCAGATGATAATTTAAAACAAATAATTTGCGAAAGATGCGATTCAAATGGACTGAGCATTTTAGACATGTAAAAGTGATTTTTGCCACAGTGCCACAAACACCTTTCCCCTCTAAAAGTATTGTGCTTAAACTCAGCTATCAAACATACAAATGTTTTGCTTTCAAAGTCCAGCAGGTTTAAAAATCTGAAGTTGCATGTGCATTTAAATGGGAATGGTGCTTTATGGCATCATCATCACACCAGTGAATGACTGACATCAACCCAGTTTTTTTTACTAGTCTACCCACTGGCCCTCTGGGCAAAAAGAACAGTGAAGCGAAGGGTGGCTAATGCTTCCATCCCTGACGGAATGATCCAGAGAATGAATGTGATGTTCTAGGACTGAACTGAGTGGATTTCTAGAACAATTCTCATGCAGAGCCTAGGGCCCCAGCAACAAGAGAAGATGGCCTATGAACTTATATAATCAATACTGAGCCGTTTCGGTATCGGAAAACCCAGGACTTAAGTTTCAGTATGACCTTCCAAAGAGTCACAGTGTGTCTTTGTCAATAGGATACACAATACATGTGTTTGTCCCAGAACTAAAATGACAACATACTCCACCACTATACTCTTACAGAATATCGGATCATATTTCTGCACAGCATCTTGAGCATCATTTCACATTTAGCACCTGCATAATTCCCCAGGTTAATATTCATAATTTGGGAACCGCAGCCATTCTGTAACACGGCTTTTAGTAATTAGGTGGATATTTCCATTAACAATGAATCACGCTGATGACCTAGAATGAAAATATTTCAACATGTGAGGATGAAAAACTGCTGTGCCCCCTTAAACCACCAATGAATGACCTGAGAAAGCTCTTAGCATTACAACTATTTTTGGCCACTTTTAGCATTGTCAAAATTCAGGCTGCTTAAAAAATGAGACAAACAAAAGAGGATACAAAATGCATTTCCTTGTGTTTGCAACCTCAACTGTCCTTATATGACTTAAAGCCTGTGCAGACAGCCCTGATCATCTTTGTAGACGATGACTTTACACCTCTGCTTAAATAACATAAATTATTAAGGTGGCCAGTTACACCTCCATATAAATGTCGTTCTTTCCAAGATGCTTGGTGAGATTATGCAACAGTGTCTCAGTTTTCATGCTAATCTCTCTTTCTCATTCTAACAGCACTCTCCTCTAGTTTCCCTATGAGCAATCACTCTTGCATAACACAAAACCCTAAAAAATGTTTTAGATATTTAATTCAGAAATGAGCATGTTAATTTGGAAGCTTAATCAAATGCACTATACTGTTATTTCTTATATGTGTTATTCCTCTTGCCACGTTCCACTTAAGTCCTAAAAATAGGCTCAGGCACAGAGGACGGAAGAGAGGTGTCTCTCTCAAACATGCAGACACCTGTCTAAGTGCCCTGGTCAGGTAAACGTAGACGCAGCCTGAGGACTAAAGCTGTTCCATTAAAAACTGTTCCACTGAAAACAGCACAGACTCAGAAACAGATGAACTTTGCACAATGTGATAACTTTACTTATGCTTTCTGATAACAGTCTGGTTGCATTGCACAAGCAGAGTAATACTAATAAAGGTATCTTAAGAGTGATTTTGTATAGTAAAACTGTAAAATAACAGATTTCTCTGTAAACTATAGAATACAATATAGATATAGAGTATTAGTCTTTTTGTGTCTCTCTCCATACTGTGTAATTATACTGCATAGTTGAGCATTAGCAGGCTGGTGCTACAGCGGTTGAAAAGGTGTTTATTCCCCAAGAGTAGCTCTTGGTGCCAAAACTGATCTTATTGGCTTATTCTAATGCCAGAGCATCAAGTCCAAATTTGCACAACTCAACACAGGCCATAAATTGACAAGAAGAAATGCTAAACACATTAAGAAAAAGCTAAAGATCTACTGGCGCTTGAATTCTTAAGCAATCATTAATGAACTAAAAGTCAGAGGACCCTAGGTCAGTTGATATTTATCTAGTCAGTTTTTCTGGCACGCTTAACTAAGTTATCCTCAATGTCATTTACAATGAATCTATATGGTGAGTTATACTACATAAAATACAAAAACTCATGTAATGCCATGAATATTCTGAAACAAGAATGTACTTGTTTATTTTCATATAAATGATCAGATATGCAGTGTGCTGTTGTTTGAGAGCTGTAATTACGCTGCTTAGAAGAAAACCGCATATAGTGCTTATGGCTATGATGATAACATATTAATAGGTCAAATGAAGAACGTTCAATACATGAGAATGGCAACGGGAAAAAAAGCTTTTTAATTTAATTGGTTGCACAAAATGACAGGCCTCTATGTTATTAGTTGAACACACATTGTTTTTCAAGTTATGTCAGCTTAATTATACTTATGAAATTAGTCATTTTAACCATGCCTAATCATTTTTATTCTACTTGTTTGTGTGTGTGAAGCCACAAATGAACTTTTTTTTTACTGAAATCAGCTCAATCTAATGTTTTGCCATTAGGTTCTTATTACATTCAATCAATGCATTTTAGCACAGAGAGCAACTGGGAAATGAGAACATGCAAAATCAAAATGTGATGATGCAGAATTTTTTTTTTTTTTTATTAAACTGAATTGCCATATACTTGTGCTTACGAGGTTATTGTGTCTGAACACATTTTGAGCCTTTTTGAAAGCCTTTTTGTGAAGAAGATTATTTCACAGTCAAACACTATTTTAACCCATCTGTATAAATTGAGGAAGTTTCACACTGAATATTCTCAAAGGCCCCCTTAATTCCTCTGGATTTATCTCGGTTCCCAAACACTTCTGTCAGAACCAAACAGTTGCCATAGAGATGAGTTGTCTCCGATAACAAAATACCCACAAGCCTCTACAGATGACTCTTCCTTTTTTTTTTTACAAACATTATTTTTACAGTGCTCCATTAAAATATAGATTTATGGGTCAATTAAGTGCAAAAGTGTGGTTAGTGGTTATGAATTTCATTAGGCTAGGAAGAGTAAGGTATATACAAGTAGGTCCATATACTTACTGAAGCAAATAGTCATATAACGCAGTCACGTCCCTCTAAAGCAGTGATCGTGTCTGGTGCATTTTGACTTTGGTGTGTAATGTTGTGGCAAGGATACATGCATAAACAGATCAATAGATCACCCTGGTTATGTCAAAGAGCCCTGGAAAGCATCCAAAAAGAGGATGTGCTCTAATAACTACATCATTCATATGCCACAGTGATTCGGATTCTAAGAACAAACACACTTATCAATACCAGCATGATCACATGCACAATCAAATCAACATTACATTGCCTAACTGTACATGTAATTAGTGTGGCACCATACAAATACATAGATTGGCGAATATGAGGTTCAAATCGCAATATGAACAAACTCAATGCTCCAATAATGTATAAACATCTACATTCCAATCCTAATATAAGTTATTTAGACTGTGATTGTTATTGAAAAAGCTCCTGATGACCATGAAAACATCCTTCTCATACAGCTGAAGAAAAGTTAGAGGCTCTGTCGTGCAACTACGCAATTAATGATTTACATGACACAGAAAACGTACCTGCTTTTCAAGTGTTTCCAATCAATCCTAGAGTGTATTTGATTTGATCAAAACGCACATTTCCACAGGTAAACCAGTCCCGGACAGAATGTCCTGTTTCATGTGATCCAAAAGCACTGCAAGAGCGCAGTTTCAGACTGAGCGGAGACTCATAGAGAAAGAGAGAGAGAGAGAGAGAGAGAGAGAGAGAGAGAGAGACCCCTCCCCTCTATCTGTAGCTGCAGCCAAATCGTGCCGCAGTAACCAACCAGAATTGATTCTGTGAGTGTGTGCGTGTATGTGTCAGAGAGCCAGTGACTTTTCGGAGGTAGCCCTGGAATGCATTTTTTTCCCCTTACCCAGAACCCTCCATGCCAGAATACGCAGCAGCAGGGACAATCCTTCCTGCTCTGCAACATATGCATAAACACCACATACAAATACCATATAATCACAAATAAAACTCCAAGATTTTCATTAAACACACTGTTGAAGAGTGCTGGGGTTTTCGTGGCTAACAATGAGTCATGAAGCTTGAAGTTTCCTGCTGACTAAGAATGTCTGTGTGTATGCATGTGCATATGTGTGTGGTCCAGGTAAACCCTATGTTATGAGGACAAAATGTCCCCACGAAGATGGCAATATCTGAAATCCTTGTCCATGTGGGGACATTTTTTGGTCTCCATGAGGAAAACAGCTTATAAATCATAGTGATACTAAGTGATGTTTTTGAAAATGTAAAGTACAGTATACAAATCATTATGTCTATGAAAAGTCCCCATAAAACATGAAAACACAATGGTGTGTGTGTGTGTGTGTGGGAGCGTATGGGTGGGCAGATTACCTCCTTCTGGATGCAACTTCTGTAGAATTAAGGGGCCCTCCTGTGTGTATTAGAATGCTTGGTTGCTAAGCAGCCAAGAGTCTGTCCATGCAGTTTTAGACCTGGTGGATGAGAAAGAGAGAGAGAGATGGTGATGATATGACAAACGAAAAGACAATATAAAATGTGCCAGTTTCACTAAAGTTGGTCTTAACTCAAAATGGGAGATTAAAAGCCCACACAAATCTGCTCAGATTAACAGTGATAATCCATCCGAATGCATGTTCATTGAGTTCACAGCTCCTCTGGAGAGTGAGATACACTTTATGACCACCACAATCATCTCATCATCAAATTATTATCAATATTATTATTATTATTGTGCACACTACCATTCAAAAGTTTGGGGTCAGTACGATTTTTTTAAATGAAACTAATACTTTTTAGTAGGAAGAATGCATTAAATTGATCAAAAGAAACAGTAAAGACATTTACAATGTTGCAAAAGATTTATATTTCAAATAAATGCTGGTCTTTTGAACTTTCTATTCATTAAAGAATCCCGAATGTATCACGGTTTCCACAAAAAAAAAAAAAAAAAAAAAAAAAAAAAAATGCAGCACAACCGTTTTCAACATTGATAACAATACGAAATGTTTCTTGAGCTGCAAATCAGCATATTAGAATGATTTCTGAAGGATTACGTGACACTGAAGGCTGGAGTAATGGCTTTAATTTGTGTAATTTCACAATATTACACAGTATATTATTATATTACAAATTATTTAAAATAATCAAAGCCTTGGTGAGACTTGGTGACCCCAAACATTTATAGTGTATATTGAATATAGTGACATTCACCATGGTCAAAACAATTTTGGTTAAACCAAATTGGTCAATATAATGAAAGTCTCAAGTTTTTCTTATGCTAATGGATAATGATCCAGACAAAAAAAAAAAAAAAAAAAAAAAAAAAAAGTGTTCAAAAGTCATTTTAAGGCAAGTCAGTTTATGGCCCTAATGCCATCTACTAGCAAAATATACTTTATTTGCCAAAACAATAGTATTATAGTTTTTGCTTCTGAAGACTGAGTTGCATCCCAAATGACACACTATACACTATGCACTTATACACTATGTACTCAACCATGTAGTGTATGAACTTTATATGATTTTTTGTCATTCAACATTGGATTCTGATATCCCTTCCCCCCTCCACTATACGTAAATAAAACTGCAACAGTTGTCCAACATTCCACACTTTGGGGGGGGGGGGGGGTTTCGGTTAAGTGCATCATCCAGGTATTTAAAGTGCACTTTTTCTTTGTGGAATTTTCAGTGTGAACACAAAACTTGCACTATTTATACTACAAAACGGCAGAATAGTGCATAAGTACGCGAATTGGGACGCATCTTAAATCACACAAAAATACACCATGTTCTCTGCCTTACAGTCAAAGAGATTGAGGAGAGACATTGAGGAGACTATAAGAAACTAAACTAAGTGCTCTAAATGATTTAAGTACAATGCTAAATGGCTGCAAGGGTGTTCTGGGTGGTTGCTTATTGGCCCAAGTTAAAATAGCACACCAGTTGATATTCTGGCTTAATAGTGGTGTGAGAGCTGCTTTATCAGTGAACTGTGGTCAAGTGGTCAATAATAGACTATGGTATCTTCAGTCTCACAGCTGGTTTTCCAGATAAACTCCATGAATTCGTGCCAAGCTTATCATATTAGACGCCAAGAAAACACTGCTGACATGCACTGAGACAAAACACACACACAAACAAACCAAGAGAGCATCAGTGAAGAATGAAGCTGTGGAAAGATATTTTGTCCACTTCACAACACAGTCAACTAGTTATTATTCAGCTTGTACAGTCTTACTCACAATGAACCAGCGTTATTCGGCAAGAAAAAAAAAACTTTGACGCATAACACATTATGTGTAGAAAAACACATAACTACAACGACACACACACAAACCCCAGCCAGTAACCATAACCACAGCTGTAACAACCACTGACATTCAGTACGTTTCAGAGTGCTGTGTAACTGTGCGTTATGCTCTTAAATAGATGGTTAGAATGACATCTTTCTGTTTGCCTTTAATTTCTCCTGCACTGTTTTGAGAGATGACAGTAACAGTTAGTGTATCTCTCAGTGTTTTAAGCTTATTCAACACTAACAACACTACATGTGCACACACATTTTAACACAAGCACAGACTCATAATTGTGCAATAAATGCTTGACCTGGTAATGTTATCAGGTTAAAGATAAATTTGATTTGTTTGTAGAGTTCCAGTGAATCGACAACAGGTTCACTTGGGAGAATGTCAGCGTTCTAGCATACAGTTTAGCAAATACTCAAACAGTGGCAGAGGACAAAGGTTTCACTTGGACCTACAGAAATGCTTTACCTCAAAGGACGTGAACTTTGGCTTATCAAACACCCCTATTACAATGGTGGTGTTCGATAAGGTTTGATAGGGTGTTATAACACTAAATAATATTAACATCTTTGTAAAAAAAAAAAATTGGATTTATTTTTTAAATATATCCACATCCCTACATATCTTGCTAAATTTATTCCAGTAGAAATGAAAATATAAAGAATGGAAATATGTGGGTTTCATATTGCAGATGTAAATATATATATTAAAGGTGTCCTTGTTACAGTGTAAATACACATTTAAGAACTGAGTAATAATAATTACTAATAGGTTAGGATGAGGGTTTGGATTTGGTTTAGGGTTAGTTGCATGTAATTATGCACAACTTAGTTATTACTACATGTAGCGTGTAATAAAGACACAGTAAAATAAAGTGTTACCATATATGTACAGTATGCATGTATTGTATGTAGATATACATATATAATACAATGATAGAAAATAAGGTGCACATGGATTTGCTGAAGTTAAAAGAAAACATTTTATACAATATTAACTAAAAATTCACTATTAAAATGAAAAACAGAAATTGTACTATTAAACTGTCAAAACTGAATCATACAAGTGCAGGATAGGACTTAAAATGTGTTCATTTATTCTTTATTTTCAAAAGAAGTGTAAATTCGTAATTCTTAACCTGATATTTTACTAAATAGAAAATCATATTTAAGTGGTTTTGTGCAAACGAACAGAATGTTTGAGAATCTGTTTTTACAGCTAGCACTTCAAGCCTGGATTCACTAGATAATGGCTTTAATTTCACTCTTTATCGGTCCAAAGCATTTTAACACCCTCATCCAACACACACACACACACACACACACACACACACACACACACACACACACACACATTCAATAGTTGAATGTTCAGGCCAACATTCAACTCTGTGGGCCTCGAGTGAGTTCGCGTAGTGTAACTGTGCAGCGCTTCTGGGTTGTACGTCACATGTAGGTTCACTATTGGCCAACGCTGGTCATGTGTGTGATGCGTGTGACGTACAACCTAGAAGCGCTGCGCTGTTACACTACGTGAACTAACTCGAGGCCCACAGAGAAGGAAATAAATAGTTGAATAAAGTTATTTGTGTTTGTTTTTTGCGCACAAAAAGTATTTTCGTCGCTTGATAAACTTAAGATTGAGCCACTGTAGTCACTCGGACTATTTTAACGATGTCTTTAACTTTTCTGGGCCGGCAAGTTTCAATCCCTTAGAAGCCTATGGACGAGTGATCCAGCTCTCAGATTTAATCAAAAATATCTTAATTTGTGTTCCGAAGATGAATGAAAGTCTTACGGGGTTGGTGAGTAATTACTGACAGAATTTTCATTTTGGGGTGAACTATTCTTTTAAAAAATATATAAATAACCTAGGTGCATTCTGTCACGGTCATGTTTAGTTTCATTGTCTTGTTTAGTGTCTAGTCATGTTTTTCTATGTCAATGTTTTGCCTGTGTTCTAGTTCATCATTAGTTGCCATGGTTCGATTAGTTTACACCTATCCCCTGTTCCATTAATCACCTGACCAGTGTATTTAAGCACTTTGTTTCCTCTGTGCAGTGTTCTGTGTTCACGTCCTTGTGTAGGGTTATTGCAATAAAGTCTATTATATTCATTCATTCTGCGTCACGCATCATCCTTGGGATTTAAACTACACGCACCCCTGACACATACATGGACAACACTCCTTTAGGTCGAATCTCTAACATTCTTTAGGTATTTGGTTACTGCATTCAGTAAAGAAATAGCAGCATCCATCTTCACTTAACCCTTTATAGGGCACTCATTGAAATACTTGGAAATTCTAAATTTCAACCATAGAGTGTTATTGGAGGATATTATAAGACTTCTAAACATTTGTGAGTTTTTAAAAAAAAATATTTTTTTTAGGTTGGAAATCAAGGGCAATGAAGTTACCATATATGGTTCCTCGCCAGTCTAGGGTAATTTTTTTTTCCCCTTAAAAAGTGTATATATAAAAATATAATAAAAACACATAAACTTGTTACAAACATACAAAATATTTATTTAGGAACATTTTAAATTATTATTAGGAACATTTTAAATTAAATTACACCTCTTGGCAGAGGGGCCTATATTACTCTGGCCTGGAGTGTCTAGGTTGTGGGTGGGTGGGAGGAAGACAGGGTCTGCCACATCATCATCTTCCTCCTCAGAGCCCTCATCATCACTGATGCTGGGGTGGGCTGGCACAACTGTCTCCCTCTTGCCGTAAAAGATTCGTGTAGATAGCTGCAAAGAACAGAGAGTACATTTTTGAGTCAATATCAAGCCCAGTTTGAGTAATTTGTTGAGTAACAGTGAAGTGCAGATCTACTGAAATATAAATAATAAGAAAAATAAGTGAGTAACATTGGACTGGTCTGTCATAATATATGTAAATATATAATAAGAAGTGCAAAATATCATTATAAGTATTAAAAACTGTTATAAAGGTCATAAAACTGACCAAAACCACACATATTTCAATATCTAATATGGCTTGAAAATGTCTATAAATGTGTTACGTTTCCCACTGGATCAATTTATAATGTTATTCAAACCTGTGATAACATCCAATGCACTAGTAAATACTATTGTCCTACATTATAATCATAGACTGTGGTAATAATGCATTATTTGTAGAAAAAATACCCTAGTATGGCTTTTCTATACGCATAGGGCGTATGTCTAAATATGGTCTTCCTATCACTTGCGCTGATCTTACATGAACAGGCGGCGTATGATCAAATATGGTCTCACCATTTTTCATGCCACAAATGTCACTACTTTCAAGAAATCTATGCAAACAACACCTATCTCAACATGTTGCACAACTATTCAACCATAGAATGTGTGAGTTTCATCAACTTACCATTTTTTTGTTTTGAAGTTATTAGCGCTGATGTGGGAGTAGGTAGTAGCGCATAACCTCACTTTCCAATATCCGGAACGACACTGAAGTTTAAAATGCTCCGCGCAACTTCTGATTGGTCAGATGCCATGGTGTGACTATCAGTGACGTAGCCTGATCTTCGCTGATTGGCTAGGAGAAATATATGCGCTCATACGACAACGCAAACAGGCAGGGGAGAGTCCGTTTGAATGCGCGATTAAGTTACCAAATATGGTTCCTCGCCCGATAAAGGGTTAAACAGAAAGGAAACACAGACACTCTCCTGACCACCCATGCACATGTTTCAGCAGCCTGCTGGTCATATGTTTCTCAGGCTCCTTGTATTAAACTAAAAACCTATATAGAAACACCCAGCGCTCTCAGGGGCATGTGGACATGGGCATTCAACCTGACTACAGACTTCAGCGGATTGAGTTACTAATAATATTTACTCAACAAAAAACAAGCCATTAATTAAATTGTTGGCCTGTTCACTTATTTAGTGAAGCAGTATATAAAGTGAAATCAGGTATGTTGGGACACTTTATGATACCATCTGCACAATTAAAATGTATATAAACAAAATGTTACATTTCCAACAGTTAAAATAACATGTAAAAGTCATTTGGTTCATAAATTGGGTCATTCTTTTGGTCTTTTGGATTTTTTTTTTATAAAGCCATTTATAAAAAGTTTGCAGATCGCTGCATATTTTAATAGAGAGACCGTAAAATTCATGATATACTATAGAGATTAATGTTTCATACAAATACCTGTATATCAACCTTAGTATAATTAAAAAAATTAGCATGTCAGGACAGACAGGACACATATGGCCAAATCAGGTGCCACATGGAAAATATAGAATAAGGTCAAATTATAATATGTACTTTGTTTAATGAATCTTAAATAATTACAGTATGGCACCCCGACTTTATCTGTTGTCAGACTCCTTGTGCATACAAAAATCAATCACACTGCATTATTACAATTAATGGCAAAAGAAAAGTTTGGAAATGTGAACTGATATTTCCTACTAACACACTACAGCAAAAGATATAAACAACTGGCTTAAAACCATTTTCTTTTGTGAAAATACTAATGTGCCTAAGACTTTTGCACAGTACTGTATATTAATGTATTTAAAAGATTTAATTGATCAAAGAGACAGTAAAGACATTTACAATGTTACAAAATAATGTTGTTTTGAACTTTCTATTAAAAAAATGTATCATGGTTTCTACAAAAACATTAAGCAGCTCAACTGGTTTCAACTGTGAAAATAAATTTGTAAATATGTGTGTTTGTTTGTTTGTTTTGCAAAACCTACATCACTGAGAAAAGAGGACCAAGCGAATATCAGGCGTAATATTCTGTTTTTTGGAAGCTCTTGTTAAAGCAGAATTTACTGCTTTAATCCTAATTTACTGAGACAACTAAGTAAAACATCTGCAGGTTGATTCCCCTGAAAAGTGTAAACACTGCCTAATAGAGCATCACAGTCCCAGTCCCAGACCAGCCCGACACAGCAACGTTGGCTCAACCAATGGCGAGTTTGAGGCGGTTGTGAAATTGCATTTTTCTCAAATTATACAAAACTTTGCGGGCTTTGTGAGGTAATAAGACCAGTTTCTATAAATTATTTATCGAGTTAACAACATTTACCTAACGATAGTCAAAGATGACTTATTTTTATTGTTCTTATTTTATTTTTGCTCTCGTCTTACCTCCGTCCTCACAATCTTCACCTACAGTAGAGACTGCCTTTTCCACCTACAGGCAGTCTGCCTGACAGGCTGTTGGGCTCATGAATATTAATGGCGTTGTCTTGTCTGCGTATGGTCTGCGTTGATCTCTTGCTGAAATCAAACAAATGACATAACGGCTTGCGTGTTAGTCCCGCCCACTCTTGAGGAGAATTGGTAATACCATAAAACATACAAAATAGGTGTAACTTATTGTACAAGTCAAATAAATTTACTATGAACCTCGTTATGAATTCCTATTCATATAAAAGAAACAAACAATCATGAAATTATATAATTATACAGTGATATGGGGTGGTAAATGTTAGGCCTAGCAGCTGACACGTTAGTCCAATAATTGATAGTCTACTAAAAAAAAATCAAAATTTACGTAGTTTACGTTTAATTCGTTGTATTGAAAAAAAAAAGTTTACCAGACGTCCAAGAAAAGTTGGTTTGGAAAATACAAGCCTATAGCATTTATCAGAATCAATTAAAACCAATAAATAAGCAACACAGATGGACATACTGAGTTACATAAACCTGGTGTGTATATGATGTCCCATTTTCCGAAGCTGTTACCAGTTTTGTTGTCCCATAATAATAGGGGGTTAGAATGGATTGGATAGAAGAAATTTGACAGTCAAAAAAAATAGTGAAGTTTTAAACTCAAAAGGGCAACAGCTTTTGATTATAAACCAGCAGCACCTCCTCTGACATATGATTCTGTACTTAAAATAAATAAATAATTATTCTATTTTTATAATAGTTAGAGAAAGGGAAACGTTACCATATTCAAAGCGCATCTGAATAAACAGTTTAAACGTATTATTCACGGCTGTAATTTAGCGCCACCTTCTGGACAAATGTTGAATCCACAGAAACTACAACATTTATCGTAATCAAGTAAAATAAGATTTTTGTTTTCTGTGAAAAGAGTGATCATGACATTAAAGAAGCAATTGATGTTGGAAATGCATCATGATAAAAGGCCACTGAAATGACTTAAGCTAAATTGTGAAACATTATTGGTGCATTACAAAATACAATAGCACAAAATACTGCGTGCTTGAAATCACATGATAAAAGACAAAACTGTGTGACACTCAGTCTCAGCCAATTGTAATCCTGTGACTGGAAATCAACTTTAAATCGACGTAATTAAAGGATCTAATCACTGTAAATCATTGAAATCCTAGAAAGGCTATTATAAACATCAATCAATACAACTATTCAAATAATACAGATCTTTATTCGGAGCCTTACATAGAGTGGCGCTTAAAATACAACCATATTCTTGTCCCTATTCTTTATTGTTTCCAAGGGCGATAGTCTGTGAGTGATACAGAGATGCTTGCTCATGCGCTTTTGTGAAATAATCCACGGTAATGCAAAGTACGAATCCTACTATAGCGAGGGGTTTAGATCATACATATTAAATAGCCTGTTTCTGCTTGGTTGCCTCCCTAAAGCGTCCAGTAACGTACCTTATTTACAATTTACAAACCACACTTTCTTCAAAAAGAGAATAGTTCATTCGCCTTCTGACTAGAGCCCACCTATCATTGTCTGCCTTTCAACCAATCAGTGAGGTTTATTGGACTAACGTCACACAACGTAGGTAATATTCATGCACCAAGCCGTCGCCATAGTAGGATTCGTAGTGTGTGAGTGTGTGCGCGCGTTGTCCACCGTGTACCAGTCTGAGCGCACGGCGGATCTCCTCACTTTGACCAGAACCATGGCTTGAATTACACTACCAGCGGGCCGTACTGTTATCTAATGGTGTTCTTTTAACCAACATGCGACGCCCTGCTCTGTTCTTCTGACCTGATAAAGAGCCAATACCCCGGTCGGTTTGGATTAATTTTCTGCGCATCATTTGGACGGCCGTCTCTAGAATGGAGCACATCAGAACACCAAAGGTACTGCTGATGTCCTTTTATGTACCGACCCGGCATTTCATGATAGCTCACAGTGCAGCATTCATTCTCTAGATTTCTTTCATTTTGAATTGCATATGCTTTGACAAAAACGTAATATGTGTTTTCCAAAATAATCTTTTGAAAATATGGTTTGACAGAATAAGCCCAATGATAGGCCACGAAGCCCCCATTTTCCTTCATCTATTATAGTGCATTGTAACAAGATCTGAATGGTTCTGCCTGAGCACTACTGATGCACCATGAGAGTCAGCAGATGCCATTTAATTTTAAATGCATACTCTTTAGAATGATATTTTACTATTTTAATGTAATCAAGGGCAAAATAATCCACATTAGGTCAAGTACATAGAAGATGTGGCCCTATCTAAATGAAGGTTTTTGAATATGCCAAGCTGGAGAAATGATTGTGATTGTAATTATTGCAAAATAATTCACATGACCTTATGAGCCATTATATTTTTTGGTAGGGTAGGGTAGGATATTATTTTATTTTACTTGACAATATATAATGTACATCACAAGGTTGGTAGCATTTTATATACATTATATTTTATGATTTGTTGTTTTCCAGGTGGAAAATGTCCGCATGTTTGATAAACTGACCCCCAGGAAGTCTATGGTGGGAACGTTATACCTCTCCTCCACTCACACTATATTTGTAGAGAACTCGGAGGCCCGCAAAGAGACCTGGGTAGGAATCGAAACCTTTCCATGCAGACAATCAAGCTTCCTCTTGAAAATGACCCCAATTGTTTAAACCACAGTGACACAAGTCATCCACTATGTTAACTGGTCTCCTATAAATTGCTAGAACTGCATTTGTTGTTGCCTTATTCTGTTTTGATCTGCTCTAAAAAATAAAAATAATAATCTATATTAAACACAAGAGTCAATGTATCTGTCTAGAATCTATCTACTTTGTCTAGACAAGAAGGTCCTTAGAATATAAATATGATTCCAGAGTTCCACGGGCACTAAAGACCTCTCTTGCTCTGCTAGATTCTGCACAGTTTGATGGGTAATGTGGAGAGACTCCCGACAAATCCATCAGGAAGCCCTCTCATTATCCGCTGTAAGAACTTCCATGTTTATAGACTGCTGATCCCACAGGAGAAGGACTGTGTAGATGTGTTGGCTTCCCTCACTCGTCTTTCACATCCAGGTAAAGTAAAATGCATAGTATAAGTAAAAAAGTGCAAAAAAGTCACCTATTCCTTTAAAATGTCACAGAATAGTCTTTGCAGAATGTATATTGGCTTTCATTTATCTTTTAGGGTTTAGCTCGGTATTGAAATTAGGGAGTTTCTAGATTGCCAGCTGTGGTTGCCAGAAATTCAATGTAAAAAAATATGGTGACACTGCTTCGGGTATTATGGGTTGGGAAATTGGTGGTTGTATATTTTACAACTTATAACCATATATTTTTTTAAGTTATTATAATATATACACATTTACTTGAAGACAATAATCTGCGTTGTACCTTGAAATGTAGTGATAACCACCATAATAATTTAAATGATAAAATAGAAAGTCACATGACATGACGGATGGCCAGGTCTCAAATCCACAGGGGTCACAGACACAGACAAAAGACCATCAGGTAAATACACTAAAATAAATAGTGCCTGATGTGCCAAAACTCCCTGATGTACATTACTGATGAAAAAAAGAAGAAACAAAATGAGTTAAATACATTTTAATCATATGTGATGTGTCGCATTGAGACTTCTGGGAACGTTCACCGTAAATAGTTTTTTACTTAATAAAAACCATAAATATGTCAGTTTGTTTACATTAAAAATACATATAATGTGATGTTAAGCCATTTAAAGTGTTTCCCCGTATATGGTAAGGTGACTTTGGTAAGGTTATGGTAAGGTTAACCAATAATCAGGTTTTTACCGTAGCATTTTTACAGTATTTTTCTATTACAACCATTTTACTAGAAATAGTTTAAACTAGTGTCTTTTCAGCTGTGAGCCTCCATTTTGATATCATGTAACAAATTTACTCGCATATGATTTGGCGAAGCATGGTTAATGATCCTTACATTAGCATTTTCTTCTGTGAAAAGTGAACACTGTGGCTTTTTTGCTTAGACAATGCTAGGTCTTAGCTGTTGCATCACAGTGCATTATGAAATACACCGTCTGTGAAATTTAGGCAACGTCAGAGAGCACAGTTCTATACAGTTTCGCCCATGGGACCCACACACTCATTAACTTTTACTTGTCTCTCTCTCTCTCTCTCTCTCTCTCTCTCTCTCTCTCTCTCTCTCTCTCTCTCTCTCTCTCTCTCTCTCTCTCTCTCTCTCTCTCTCTCTCTCTCTCTCTCTCTCTCTCTCTCTCTCTCTCTCTCTCTCTCTCTCTCTCTCTTGCAGAGCGCTATGGAGAGCTGTTTTGCTTCTCTTTTAACCCAAACCTGGATAAAGAGTTAAGGGAAAAGGCCTGGGCCTTCATCGACCTGAAGGCAGAATTCATTCGAATGGGAATACCCAGAAACCTCTGGCATGCCACGGCAGCCAATCATGAGCACAGAGTCAGTATGAGCTCAGATGCCTGTTCATCCTCAGGGTCAATAAACATGATTACCTTTTACACAACATTTCAGAGATCAGTGTTTGAGTTTTACGCCTTAAATTACACAGCCAAAAACAATATTAACGCAATGTGTGGATTTGTTTTTTCTGTTTATGATGTATATGAATACTGAACAAAGGTAGAAGACTATGTACTTAAAGGGATAGTTAGCCCAAAAATCTGAATTCTGTTGTCATTTACTCAACCTAATGTAGTTTCAAAACTGTGACTTCCATTCCTCTGTGGAAAATAAAAGCCATCAGAATCTCATAGTAATCAAGCTATTGATGGTAACAGCGACACCTCTGATTGGTGGATTTTTTAAGGGTAATGCAGTTCTTCACTGAAAGTTTGGCTAGTAAACACGATTTGTAAAAAATTTAATTGAAGTCACATGAAAATGCATCTTCTGTAAAAGCATGTATCATTGCTTAGCAAGTTTAGAGCTGATGGATTTACAGAGCAATATTTTGAAAAAAAAAAAATGAATTGATGAATCTTGTATAATAATTACAGGAATGTTTCTTTCTAAAGTAAACAGTCGCTGCTGAACTTAAGAATGTAAAACAATAGTTGTAATCTGAATATTTTGCTTGGCAGTTGTGTGACACTTACCCGTCGGAGCTGTATGTGCCAAAGTCAGTCTCTCCTGCTGTCATTGTGGGCAGTGCCAAGTTCCGGAGTCGAGGACGTCTTCCTGTTCTCTCCTACTACCACAGAGACTCCAGTGTAAGTGCAGAAATAATGATACTCATTTAAACTCAAGAGTAACCCTGTGCAAGCTTTTACTTTTTATACTTAAGCTTAATATGTTATAGGTTGTCTCCACCTCCCCACTTTTTAAATTCTCACACCATTGCTTTTCTAGGCATCAATCTGTCGGAGCAGTCAGCCTCTTTCTGGTTTCAGTGCACGCTCCTCAGACGATGAGCAGATGCTGCAGGCCATCATGAAGTCAAACCCTGTCAGCGAGTTCATGTATGTGGTGGACACAAGGCCAAAGGTGAGAGATTAGAAACACACACACACACAAAACAGGTTGGACAAGCTGTTGAGATTTAGATTGGGTAGATTGAAAGTTTTCTTATCTATCTGTCTGTCTGTTTATACGCAAGATTTTTTTAAGATATTTTTTTTTTTTAAAGAAGTCTTTTATGTATACAAATGGTGCATTTATTTGATCAGTAAAAACAGTATCATTTTGACATTACAATTTAAAACAACTTTTTTGTATTTGAATATATTTTAAAATGTAATTTATTCCTGTGACGCAAAGCTGAATTTTCAGCCGCCATTACTCCAGCTTTCTGTGTCACATGATCCTTCAGAAATCATTCTTATTTACTGACTGGATTATCTAGTTACATTTCTTAGTACATCACAGTTGAAAACAGTTGTGCTGCTTAATGTTTTGTGTGGAAACTGCATTTATTATTTGATGGATAGAAGGTTCAAAAGACAGCATTTATTTAAAATAGAAATCTTTTGTAACAATGTGAACATTTGTAGTATTACTATTGATCAATTTAATGCATTGTTGATGAATAAAAGTATTAATTTATTTTTTTGTTAATCTTACTGACACGTTTTTTTGAAAGGTAGTATATATTGATATTTGTATCCTGAAATATTGTTGGCTTTATAATATGTGTTAATATGTATGTATTATAATATGTATAATATGTGTTTATTTGTACTTGTATTTTTGCACACCCCCCCCCCCCCCTTTAATTCTCACTATAATGTATGTACTACGCCATAATGTACCTTACCATAACTATACCAGTATGCCATAATGTACCATAGTGTAAATAATCCAAAATACTAACAGTATTGTTAGTTTGAAACGCTGTTTGTTTACTGCTTTCAGCTGAATGCCATGGCTAATCGTGCTGCTGGGAAGGGCTACGAGAATGAGGACCACTACACTAACATAAAACTGCAGTTCATTGGCATAGAAAACATCCATGTCATGAGGAACAGCCAACAGAAGCTTATAGATGGTAGATGGATTAATCATTATTACAGATACCTGTCTGGTGATCACTTCCTGTCCATATGGAAATGCACCTTTTCTGTCTATTTGTTGCAGTTGGTGATCTTGTGGCTCCCACCATGAGTGATTTCCTCTGGGGTCTGGAGAACTCTGGGTGGCTAAAACACATCAAAGCTGTACTAGATGCTGGAGTCTTCATTGCAAAGGCAATACTTTATTAGAAAGTTTTAAAGATGATTTAGTACCTAAGTTGAAAACCTAAGTTCGAATAGCATGTGATTGGCTCATTGGCACAATCACATATGTATTATTCTGTTCATGTGTGTCCACAGGCAGTGGCGGAGGATGGAGTGAGTGTTCTGGTGCACTGTTCAGACGGTTGGGACAGAACCGCTCAGGCCTGTTCGGTGGCTAGTGTACTACTAGATTCATACTACAGAACTATCAAGGGACTGATGGTAATAAGAACTTTGATCCATTTTGCTTTGCTTTTCAAATAGTGCTAGTCTAACATCATCTATAAAGACTAAATTTGTAACATTTCTTTTTTTTGTCAGTATTTAAACACAAGTCTTCTTCCTTTTATAGGTTCTGATTGAAAAGGACTGGGTGTCATTTGGACACAAGTTTTCCCACAGGTTTGTGTTTTTCATTTCAATTCGCACGTTTCTGGACTCGCATGTCGGACTTGCATTTGTTTGTAATTTATTGAATTGCATGATTGAATTGAATAACAGCTTTCTGTGAATCTCTTCTACTGTGTTTGTTGTACATGGATAACATACAAAACCAGAAAGGCCTCATTACTCAATCCATAACAGATACTGTGACTAAACCGTCAGTCATGCGGTATACAGTGTTATACTGTGTGTCTCTAAGCTTTAGGTGAGCCACTACAATATAATCACGAAATGCTACAGAGGGTCAGTTTACCAAAAAATGAAAATGTTCTTATGACACAAAAGAGAAATTTTCAAGAATGCTCAAACTGCCCCCTCCCCCTCCCTATATAGAAAAAGCTTACAGCGACCATAGGCAAAATTGAAGTGGCCCATAGAACTCTTCAACATATTACAAGTCTTCTGAAGTCATACGATCACAAGTTACTTGATGATTAAAAGTAGTTTGCATACGTGCATATTCAAACTTGGCATGTCTTGGTGTGATGTCACTGACACCAAACACCACTAGTCCTTTCTTGTTTTGTAATAAAAGTGCGAATGAAATCTGAGAAAAGAAAGGGTTGGAATTAAATGAGGGTAAAGGATGACAGAATCTTTGGAAGGTGAACTATATAATTACTTCTACCATTTCATCAACTACATAATTACATTTCATCTTCATTTATTAATTAAATTGGTTGCACTTTTTCTACAGTGGACTAGCTAAATATTCTACTAACTATGAGTAACTTTTCAACTACCGGTACATGTCAACTAACTCTCATTAGTGTATTAGTAGACTGTTAGGGTTTGGGTTAGTAGAATAAGTTGCAAAGTTACTTCTAGTCAGTAGAATGTCTGTTGGGTGACCATCAAAATAATGTGTTAGCAGATATTAAGCAGACAGTCTACTAATATGACTGGTAGTTGCAACGTTACTTATAGTTAGTAGAATGTCTTAAGTGGATTGTCGTAATAAAGTGTTGCCATAAAATCTTTTACATTCAGGTACACTCATCTTGACGGTGACCCTAAGGAGGTTTCCCCAGTTATGGACCAGTTTCTGGAGTGTGTGTGGCAGTTGATACAGCAGTTCCCCTGTGCGTTTGAGTTCAATGAGCGATTCCTCATACAGCTACACACACACATCTACTCCTGCCAGTACGGGAACTTCATCGGCAATTGCCAGAAAGAAAGGAGAGACTTGAAGTAAGAAAACCAACTACATTTTGCCACTTTTTTTATGGATATGGATAGTAGAAAGAGAAGAGGGGCGAACAGGATCAGCAGAATCTGCCAGACTTGTACTCGCACCAGCTGCATGAGCACTTGCAGACTTGCAACGTGTCAGAGCATGTAGGATAACTGCTAGGTCACAGCTTTGACAGAAATATTACTTTTTGAACTGTGATGTTGTAGATGTACTAGTATAGATAGCCCACAGTCTGTTTACTGGGAAATTGCCCAACAATGGCAGGATCCAAACTGATGCTATTGCTACATAACTTTTGTGAGTCCAGGTGCACAGGTTTTTATGAACGTGCCACATGGTGCCGGGTTAATATTATTACAGCTCCTAAAGGCCCAGACACAACAAACCAAGATCAAATAACTAGTAGCGACGAAAGCCAATTGTGGTGTCAACTCATGTTGCTTGCGTCTGGACCAAAAACTTGTGTTTGAACACACTGCAAATACCACAGCCAATGGCCAACTACTATGTACATACTGCATCTGCGTGAGAGGAAATAACTCTCCATACCAGCAGGTGGCAGTGGTCAGTGTTTGTCATTCAAAATGGGAAACCGGAAGAGCTAGGACTGTGGCTATACACAAACCGTAAACAAATGATGCGTCAGAAATCATGTATTGTCTAATATGTACTACAATTGGTTTGAAACTTACTTTGCAACCATTAAAATGGATGCTCTGTATAGTGTGGAAATGGGTAGTATGATTGGAATAATAATATACATCCGTTATCTTGTCACTGTTACGTGACGCTTCCTTGCTATGCACAACTCCTCTCCTGTGATATCATTGGATGGTAAAGTGTCCATCAGATATACACTTCAGAACCTGGAAGTAGTACCCTGCTGAAAAATCCATCTTAAACCAAAATAAATTCCATGTTGGTCCAGGCTGGTTTATGCTGGTTGGAGCTGGTCTAGCTGGTGGACCAGCATAGCCATACTGTTCTCCAGCAAAACTGAGCTGGAGTAGCTGGGGACCAGCAAACCAGCATCCCATCCCATTAGTTTTTCTTCTTATACACTGGTTCACTAATGCGGTACAGGACAGTACAAACCAAGCGGTACAGGACAGTACAGTACGCTTCAAGACGGTAAACCATGATCCGGCTTGCGTTTCCAACGCCAACAGTATCTTTGCTTGATAGACAGAAAAAGCACAAAAAAGTCAAAAAAGCACACGCAAGTGACAATTCTCTGTCAACCAATCAACGTTCTGCAGTGACTCTAGCTCCACCCTTTAGTACCGGACTACTGTGCTAGGTACCCCAATGGAAGAGTCTAAAAAAAGTGGTCGGTTCGGAATTAGGCTACCATTCACAACTTCTGACAATGGAAATGGCAAAAAAAAAATTGAGTACCGTACCGCTTGGTGGAAATGAGGCATAAGCTGGAACAGCCAATAAGAGTGATCACAGATGGGCGCCGCCAATTCAACGTGCTCAATCGACCCGAAAAGCTACCAATGGAGGTCCGGCTAGTGCCAACGGTGTAGAACGCACCAAAAAACTAGGTCAGATGTCTGAATGGTGTGGAGGCTTGTCTGAGACCTATGGTTCATCCCTTTACATGTTTAGATTCTTTTCCTAAGTGGCCAGTTCTTGGCCAGAATAAGCTGCAAAGCGGACTAGACAAACATGCCAATACTTCTTCAAAAAAGGGTTCGTTCAAGAGTTCAATATCCAAAAGACTTTACTGATGACAATAGAGTTTAGACTGAAAATGTATGAATGTTTAAGTTGTGACCAACTACAGCAATAAAAAAAAAAAAAACTGAGGTTGAGATTCGATTCTATTTCAAGTGCTTACCACAACCATAAAAGGTAATCGAACTGTTGGATCAGCTTGGTTTCATTACCTTAATGTGCTAGTTTATTCGTTCAATCTCCCTCTTTGTACACTATGCAGGTTACAAGAGCGAACACACTCTTTGTGGCCGCACCTGTGGGAGAACAGGGCCGAATACACAAACCCTCTGTACAGGACAGACCACAGTCAGACACAGGGTGTTCTGAAACCTCTCACCACTGCCTACTGCTTCAAGTAAGTCAACCCAATTTGAATGGCCATGATGGCTTTAAATGATCATTTAACCTTCCTTCATGCCGTACAATAGTTGTGCTTCCTTCTGAATTAGCTCAGAGATGACAAAGCTCCATTCTGTCAGAATGAGAATGTGAAATGAAACCATATTGAACACAAAATAGCTTGCAGTGACACCTTTGTGAATGTTTTTGTTTTTTTTAGCTAATGTTAGCTAATGAAAAAACTCTACACCAAGGCACTTAAAAAAGACTGTTGCGTTATAAGTGCTACTGTTTGATGTAATTACTGGGGTGGTTTGTCCCTTTTAATGATTTAAATAACCTCTCATGTAAGCCTCGTCGAGTTAATTCTTGAGGTGTTTCAGGAAGAGAGTAGTTTTAAAAATGAAATGGTGGTCCTTTTTTAGGTATGTTACCTGGAGGTACAGTGTGGCAATGGATAAATACAAGTTTTATGGCGCTTTTCCATTACCAGTACCAGCTCGACTCGACTCGACTCGCCTTGGCTCGCCTCGACTCGGCTCGCTTTTCGCTCCGTTTTCCATTGCAGAAAGTACCGCCACAAATAGTACCCGGTGGTCATAGCGACGCATTTCGTTCCTCGTTGCCCCATCAAGCTCTCGCTGGATCCTCTCTTCGGCAACCAAACAAAGGAATGTCTGCACCTCCTCGTTTGACCACGGCGTATTCTTCCGAGTTGCCATAATACTAGTAAGTAAGTTTAGTAACTATCTCTGGCCAAACTATTTAAAAATGGCGGGGTTATTCTGGATACTCCATCTGGCGCGTGCAATGATGACGCAGATTCTCTGTGACCAATCAGCAGTCGGCATTGTTTTCACGTCACATTTTAGTATCGGCTTAGCTCGCCTCAGCTCGCTTAGAACCTCGCCGGAGGTGGTACGAAAAAAAGTACCCGAAAGCAGGTACAGGTACAACTTTTACACAGTGGAAAACCAAACAAAGGCGAGTCGAGTCGAGCCGAGCCGAGCCGAGGCGAGCTGGTACTGTGTAGTGGAAAAGCGCCATTACTTGGTAAAAACAGCGTTGAACAAAGCTAATGTTGTGCTAACTATTTTATTACACTTATCATTGGTGAAATAGACTCCAGACCAGGGATGTCAAACATACAGCCCAATCCGGGCCAGGGGATGATTTGAACAATAATAGAATATAGAGATGCACTGGTTGACTGGCCATAAATTGGAACGGTTTTAAGTTTTATTTTGGTGGATATCTATTCCGGACTTGCACACAAACTGCTTTGCAAACATTTCCCAAAATGTCATTTGTGTGGGAATATTATGAAGTCTGTAAACAGGCACAGCAAGCTCACTGTTTGTGAAATATGGGAAGAAAAATATAAATATTGAAATGGGGGTAACGTTAGGGGTTTATATGAATTTATCTCTGAAGGGAACTGTCTTCAGAATAGATGGCATTTTCTTGTCCTCTTGCCTTCGTATAATGTTGTGTTTAAGCAGCGCTGCTTTGTGTATAGCGGGAAACAAGGAAACGCTATACTGCTGCTGTTCCATAAGCGCCACCTACTGTCAGAGAGTGGATTTGAATTTTCATTCAGTCCGTCTGCTGTTTTTGTTTTGTGCAGGTGTAGCATATAGCATATTTTCACAAAACAAAAGTCAGACCATTCTGTTTTTGCTTTAAATCTTGAATTTATATATCTGATTTAAATAAAAAAATTACCTGTTCATGCTAATGTTATGTTACATTAGCATCTTTGTTTGCATCATAATTAAAATGTAGTGGTTGACTCAAATGGCTGGCTACAGATATTTTCTGTTTAAGGCCAGTTTAGACAGTTATAGAGCAAATAAACAACGAATAAATGTGTTACAAAAATCGGCCATGAACAAAATCATAAGGGGGCACCCCTAATAAAAAATATTAATGTACCCCTATTATGCTTTTTTCCATTATTACCTTTCATGCAGTGTGTAATATAGCTCTCTATGAATGTAAACGATCTGCAAAGTTGTAAAGTCAAAAATGCTCAATAAATAAAGTTATTGTCTCCCAAAGACATGATGATTCCCGAAAGAGTCGACCCTGAACCGCCTAAACGAGTCATAAAGAATTCCAGTCTCACTTCTGTGACCAGCATACGTAACGCAGTAACACATTTGCATAATGCCCGTCTGTGGTCTTCATTGGCTGTCCGCAAACAACGTCTACCTTGACCCGCCCTCAAACAGTGTAGCTGGTTTGTGCTGTGTACATGTCGAGAAGATGCTGTTTCCTGCTCTGCAAAAGCAAATTCTCTTTGTAAAGACTTCCAAAGGATGAGGATGTGAAGAGTCCGTGGTTAACACACAGCGATACAACGGCAGTATAACCTTTTGCCGATTGCTTCTCAAATCTTCGTGAGGTCTAAATTTTTTTTTTTTAAATGACAAAAGCATAACTTAAAAGGATAGTTCAACCAAAAATTAATTCTGTCATCATTTACTCACCCTCAAGTTGTTCCAAACCTGTGTGAATTACTGAACACAAAGGAAGATATTTTGAAGAATGTCGGTAACCAAACAGTTGACGGACCCCATTGACTTCCATAGTATGGAAAAAAAATACTATGGAAGTCAATTGGGCCGATCAACTGTTTGGTTACCGACATTCTTCAACATCTTATTTTGTGTTCAGCAGAATAAAGAAATTCATACAGGTTCATTAACCATTTTATTACCATCCTTAATATATTGTTCTTTGCAAAGTGAATGAAATTGGTTTGTTGGGTAACACTGTTCAATAAAGGATTAATCAATTGGAAATGATGTTCTAGGTTTTGGAAGGGGATGTACGGCCGTGCAGAGAAAAGTGTGACTTCACAGTCTCCAGCCGATTGCCTGAACGCAGTAAGGGAGGAGTCACAACAATTGGAGGAGGAGCTTAGCACCCACCAGGAGGTACCACGGGAGACGGACGCTGGACAAGGCATACACTTGCATGCATAAATATCACATATGTATCATAGCAGTTGAAAAAGTATAACCAAGTAGACCTCGCCCTCTCTGGGATGGGATTCATTCTGATATTACACATTACAGTATGCTAGTGTTCCATTTCAAACGGTTCATTAGAATTGAATTTGTTCCTTTTATTTGCTGCACTGATGTACAACTGACAGACTTTGACCTCTTCAAACTTGCTCACCTAAACAGAGAATTGTCGAGCTGAAGGAGAAAACTTCAGGGGAGAGGAAGGAGACCAAGAAGTTGTCTGAACGGGCCCGCCGTCCAATTCCAAGCGAGTGTGAACTCAGCAGCCCACTGGACTATTTCACCACACTGAGAAGTGAGAAACACACTCCTCCTTTCACACTGCCACTAGAGCTAGCAGCCCAACCTAAAAGTGGTGACCCCGATGACCTTTCAACCTGCAGCGATTTTGAGTCAGGCGTGGCTGACCTCAGTAGCCACTCCTCCAGTGCTGGAGACGACGCTAAGGACCCCGATTAGGATAAGGTGGTCAAAACAAACGCCTGAACTAAAACAGAACTGGTGACAATGAGGGATAAAAGCACAGTAACCAGTATCAAACTGGGAACTATGTTGTATTTTTAATGTTATTTTAATTTTTCTTTTTAAATCTGTGTGTGAATTTATATTTAATTATGTGCACAATATCCAAGATGGTCTGGCAATAAGACCTTATTCCATTATAGTAAAGTTATTTCCTGTGTAATGTTTTGGGTTGACTGTATATTTTGTATATTTTATGCGTAATTATTTTATTTCCATAACTATGTACGGAACCGCATATTACCATACTACTCATACTAATACACAGAACATATATCAGATATCCAGAATACATTTGCCAAAATACACACAGCTTAAAATACTGTGTCCCACAAAGCAATGCATAAACTGGAATATCTGCGTTTTTTTAATCAGCGTTCTTGATTACCAATAGGTTTTTTTTTTTTATTTGTTTGAGAAATATGATGCAACTGTTTTTGTTTTTAACGTATGCTAGATGACTGTAGAGTAATATTCTATTGTTTGAAATGTAAAGCATTTTATAATGCTTTCTAATTTCACATACTATATACAGCAGGAAGAGGATGCTAGGATTCCATTCCAAACATAGCCCTTATCCTCATGGAATTTGGTCTGTACCTATCAAGACTATTAGATTCCCACCTGCGTGTTTCATTGGTATTCAAAGGAACTCTTAAATAGAAATTGTGAGAATTTGCTGTATATGTGAAAACAAGAACTGTATGTCACCCACACTACATTTACTTCCCATTTCAGTAACTAGGCATACTCTGACACATAGACAATCAATCCCTCACACATCCACATGATTAACTTTTCAGCTATGTAGGTTTTGTCTGGAACATATGGATATAGGGCAAAAAATGCTCTCAATAAAATGTTTGACAAACAGCAAACAAAATTACAGCATATCTGGAGCCAATTTTTGCTGAGAATGCTTGCGTTGAACGGTGTATCTGGGTACTCAAGTTATTGTCATTCTTTGATGAACATTATAGTGAAATGTGTAATTATCGCCATTAGCTCTTTCCCCGCCAGTGTTATTTAAAAAAAGTTGCCAATCACCTTCAGGATTTTATAAAATTTTCACAAACATTTCATGGCCCCCAGAAGATTGGTTGTATGAATATCTGAACATACAATATATCAAAAGAAAGAACAGAGCCTCTACTTTAAACAAATAAAATATAAAAACATATTCTAGCTTCATCCATTCTTTTTTTTATCAACAATTGAATGTGGGTAAGTCCCATAAAAGAAGCAACATTTTGAACAAGCTAAGAAAGATTATTATTTTTTTCCAAAGATTACGTGCATAAGCAATGCTTTTACTGCTTGTTTCTGTTCCTTTTTTGCCTGTTTTGATCCTGATATTCACTACTTTTTCAGAAGATGCGTAATAGCGCCCACCACCGTATAACAGTGAAAACACGGGAAGACGGAAAATTCCGTCAATGGCGGGGAAAGAGTAAAAAGGATTGTTCCAAACCGGTTTATTAAGCACTTATACACCATCTTCTATAGTTGGACAAACAAGTCAAACTCAGCCGTGCTTTGAAAGAGCCAAAAAGTGTTTACACTCTTCGTGGAAGAAGAGTGTAAAACTTACAAATGGCTTACTTGTTATCAATGAAAAGTGGCACATGTCACCTTTATGCAGAAACTGAGCTCTTATGTATGCACCGATAATACACTGATAAACCAGTATTTATTTTTAATATTATGGCAGATGATCGATAAATGCAAAATTAAAATCCAATACTGTTTTTGCCTATATATTAAAAATAAAACATTGAACTCTAAAATCATTACTTTTAAATAAATTACTACATGGATATTTGTTTTCATAATTGAATATTACATTCAACAACGTAATTAAATTTCTAGTGTTCTTAAATATGTTTTTAAGTGAGCCCTATGGCAAACAATCTCAATTTAAAAGTAGGGGAAATAAGCCCAATTCCCTTTCCAATATCAACCAAAACCTATGAATTTAATAAATCTCTAAAATCGGCTCACAGCCGATATATTGTGCATATACCTCCAGTGTATATTTCATAAAATTTTGTCATTTCATTAAAGTTACTGAAGATGCAAAACCACACTTAAGCCATAACAGAGATTATTCTAAATGTTTTATTAACCTATCAAATTAAATAAACATATAATACAATGTCTAATTATAATAAAGGATTTTTTTTTTATCAACATTATTAAATACAGTATGTTTTTGTCGTACGTTTACGGCAGCATTAACATTGTTCAAAATCATTTTCAAGTGCGTACAAGGCCCAACCCACATTTGTCACATCATCAACTCAACTAATAAGCTTAGAACTCCGGCTGTTTCTGAACACTATTAAGGACAGATTTCCTTTGGGTCACAGCCAGACTGGGCACATCCAGACGTACTCGCATCTGGTCTACTCAATCATTGTTTGTGAGTGTAACACTTTTGGAATCATGTGCAAAAATCATTTTGATTTCATTAAAGAATGATGCAGAAATCTCTTTTTGTCATATGTATCTAGGTTTGCCCAATCAAGGCTGTAGACGCCACAAGATGTGCTGCTTGTCTCAAGCCCACCGGTCTGCTGGTAGATTGATCCCAAACCTGCGATAAAGAATAGAAATGAACATGAGTGTTGAAAACACTTTCTTACCACAAGTGAATCAATCTGCTGAGTTTCGCTGAGGGAAACGTACCTTCCTCCATGGAGAGAGCACTGGGACATTCAATCTAATGTGTTGAGGGGAACTGTCCATGTGTGTTCATGCATTGCTGGAGCTTTTCCTCTTTGGCTCTTCTGCAATGGCAAAGCTGAAACAGAATGTTACATCATTATCACGTTACACAAGTTTTCATATCAGACCTTAAGATAAGACGCAATGCAAAAGTGTTCCTGTGCCGACTTCCTTTTGTAACAGGAAGTTGGAGCACAACAAAAAGAACATCTCATGAACATCACACTAGTCTTGTGAAATGTTGTATAAAGTTATGCTTATCAAAACAGCATGATTAATTGTATGTAATTGTTGTGTGGTGCTTTACAATTTCCCTAATGCTTTCTACTGGAGGTGCATAGAAGATGTATTATAAACATTTGTTTGTTGTTTCATACTGAATATTGTTTTAATACCGTTCTCTTTTCCATGAAGTTGCCTAAGAAGTCGTCAATCTCGTTCTTTCCTTCCAGAAAGTTTTCCGCTGTCTCCTCAGACTCCTCTTCAGCCTGATGGGCCGCTACCTTTAATCTGGCCTGCAGCGCGCTCAGACTGCAGCTCTGGCAGAGGAATATGAAAATTAACATTTCTATAAAAAAACTGTAGAATTTCCAGCTTAATTACAGTGACACATGATCCTTCAGAAATCATTCTAATATGCTGATTTGGTGCTCAAGAAACAACTTTTTTCTACATTATTATTATTGTCAGTGTTGAATACAGCTGTGTTGTTTAATATTTTTGAGGAAAGTGTGATAGACTACCATTCAAAAGTTTGGGGTTAAGTAAGATTAAAAAAAGAAAGACAAATAACACTTTACATTGATCAAAGTGACAGTGAAGACATTTATAATGTTACAAATTATTTTTATTATTTCAAATAAATGCTATTCTATTGAACTTTCTATTCATTAAAAATTCCTGACAAAAATCACGGTATCACGGTTTCAGCAAAAAAAATTTAAATCTTAATTACATGTTCTTTGATGTTCTTACCCTCTTTGCTATTGTAGCACTTTTGAGATTTATTTGAAATGTAAAGTGCATTATAAATAAAATTTATTATTATTATTAAAATCTAAAAGCAGCAAAAATCATTTCCAATATTGATAATAATAAGAATAAACTAGAACCATTAAAAATCATAATAAATAAGCACTAAATCAACTTTGGCATCACAGGAATAATATTAAAATAGAAAAAGAGGTATTTTAAATTATAATAATACTTCAAAATATTACTGTTTTTAATGTTTTTATGATAAAAAAATACAGCCTTGGTGAGCAAAAGACACTTCTTTCAAAAACTGGTGTGTGTGTGTGTGTGAATATATATAGTTTTTATTATTATTTTGTATTTTTAATTTAAATTTTGTTTGTATATTTATATATATATAAATACAAAATAAAAAGAGAGCAAAACACAATATGGAGGCAGAAAAACCACAAACACAACAGGTATGCAAAATCCTGAGGTTTGATATTTTGAATATTAGACCATATGAAGACTGGAATATTATATTTTCCAGCTCCTTGTCCAACAGACACACAATCAGGTGTCAAAATGATAAATGCAAAATAGTATTTTTTCCATCTTTGCATGTGTGTTTTACCTCACTGAGCTCATGTTGTCTTTGCATTTTGGTTTCAAATACCGACTTCATCTGGGTTAACTGTTCATACTACACACACACAAAAAAAACACACACCGGATAATCATTAGCATCAGAAAAGGAAAGAAGGTGACAAGATTACAATGTACATTGGGCTCCAGAAGTCTGAGACAGCTTGTGAAATGAATGCTTCTACTTTGCATTTTTTTCTCTTTTATTACCATAACATTATCAACATTGACAATGAAAAAAAAAATTAACTGAAAAATGAAATCAGACTTTTGGACCCAAGTATTTGTGACAGCATTTGTTAAAGTACGTACTTTACACAACATCTCTTGTCTCTTGCTCTCCAGTTGAGGCTCAAGCTGTAGGTTTTTCTCTGAAAGCAAAATATATTCCTTCTGTTATTTGCAAAACTGAACCAAAAACACTGATCTGATCTACATGAAATGTGTGACAGGTGTGAATTTATAGTTTTAAGGGCTAGTTTGGTGATTCAAGTTATCTGTGAAAAAACCCACTGATCC